TTTAAGGAATGGGAATAGGACTGGTAGAAGTGTCAAAGTGGTGTTCACTACCTTAATAAGAGTCAAAACGGTCTTTAATCATTTTGGAAATAATGGCACAAGACTGTGACTCCACTGAGACAATCCTGTCAGGTAAGACTGGAGTGACTCAGAATAAGACAGTCTCAGCGTCTAATCTCTCAGAGGTAGATCAGATACAGAATCTGATTACAGGTTTACCGGCTACAGACGTCAGCCACATGGGTAGGCATGCTGCAAGCAGCACCAGGGCTGTTGGTAGAGTTTGACTGGGGCACCCTGTACAGCTGGACTTTCTGCAATGTGCCTAGAATTAGACGTGTTGCAACTGTGTGGTGGTAAGGCAATATAAGGTCTCGTTCACACCTAGGCGTATTGCATATGCGCGTCTGTCACGCGACCGCCGCGCGTTTTTTTACCGCGATTTGCAGTAAAAAAGTCGCGCGACAAACGCGCGTTTCCGAATGCTACTTGGCTGTATCCCAATGGAAACGCGCAACAAAACGGCCCAAAGTAGTACATGTACCTTTTCAGGCGTGGGCCGTTTTGTAGCGCGTTAGGGACGGCCGGAAATACGCCAAGGTGGGAACGAGACCATTGAATACAATGGGATGCATATTTTTGAGCGCTTTGTAGAGCGTTCGTCGAGCGTAGAACGCGCTATAAAACGTTCAGGTGTGAACGAGGGCTCAGGGTATGAGGCAAGGCCTCAGGTACAAAACCCAGACAGCTATAGCAGGTGAAGGTCACATGGCCGGAGGTGACCAAAGTCACTTTAGGCAGGCAACAGGAATGGATCAAAGATTGAAGTTCCTCGTGGCTCTTTGCAAAGCAGGAGAAGCAGAGGGGAGATGTTTGCACTGTATGGCAGAAAAGAGCACAGAGCACGCACGTGTAACAATCCACCCAGTGGATGACATCAGTGCTCAGTCCCACAGCGTTATTCCCCTTCTGCGAAGGAAACCAGTGGGAAACTAGGTATTTTAAAAGCAACCAGCAACCTATGCACTTGACGTAGCTCCCGGTGCTCATCTGAAATTACCCATTTACAAAGTGATTCTTCAGAGACGGGACAATTGCTGAGGTAATGGCAACAGCTCTGGACCTGGAAAGCGCTCGGTGGATAACTTTTACCACAACTGATTCTGGAAAACGCCTTACGTGGAACCCAGTGCTGGAAGGTCACTTTCAGGCCATCTCCGGCAATGTTAAGTCAAGCAGTGTCTGGACACGGCTCTCCAAAAGCTAGTCCTCCAGATATCTGCAATCAGAGAGACCAGCTCTAGCAGCAGTGTACAGAGGAGTCTTGATTGAACAAAAAATGCCAAAGAGTAAGATAAATTAACAAGAAAGAAAATACAATTTTTGTACAAGGGTGAATTAGTGAACTATCTGTACTCACATAAAAATATTTATCAGCACAGACTAAGCTTGCTACACACTGATGACTTCTAAGAGCCAATTAACTGGGCTCTGATATCTTATCTTGAACTTTCACTTTAATAGCCATTATTTAGGAAGCATACAATTACCCGGACATGGTAATCTATTACAGCTGAAATAATGCTGACAGGATAATTATTCTGGCTGATATCAATAAGACTAAAGTATTTGTTACAACTGTGCTAATCAGAATGCAGCTGTGAGTTTCTTGGCCTCCCACCCTTAAGGGTTTGTTCACACCGAATGCAGACCAGATCTGCATGAGTTTCTGCACATGCGTTGCAGTGGGTTGTGCCGCGTTTTTTTTTCGAATTTTTTATGCATTCTGGGACGTTTTTGGTAAAAAATAAAATATATATTTTTTTAGTTTAAAATGGGCTTTCAGTGCGTTCCAGGAGCGTTTGCATGCATTTTTGATGCATTTACGTGCATTCCAGAGCGTTCCAGAGCCGGTAAAATAGGGCTTGCTACAGTTTTTTTATATGCTCTGGAACTGAATGCTGCGGTGTGAACTAGAGCCCAAAATACCATTGGAATACATTGGACTCAGTTTTGATCCAGTCTGTAACTGCTCTGCTCTGCTCCTGCGCTCCTGGAACACGCTTGGTGTGAACAAGCCTCACTCGCCACCGTGGTAGCTACAGCCCTGAGTAAAAAGAATATAGAATGTTTAAGTAGCTTATTCATTAAGTAAGCCTATGACCTGTTTCACTACCCAGTGATGTGCAAAATAAATTTAAAAAAGCAGAATGTTTGCACATGCTTGGGTGACCGAGGTGAGCATAGCTTTACCCCAGCCAGTAAGCTAAGCGAACATTCATTTTGTAAAGTGAACAGCCTCTATTCCTTTAGTACATCAACCTCTATGTCTGTGGTTGTGTGTATCTAACTCATTCAAGATTAGAATATTTGTACCTGTTTTCATCAGTCACTCAGAGAAACCAAAGTAACATACCTGGAATTCACCTATGACACCGATCCTCAGAGGCTGTAGACATTGTCCATCTCCCTTTCTCTGGTGTTTATCTCAGTAATAGGTTTCTATCAGCGATAGGCTTTGCATGGATGTCCTATGCTATCTTATTTGACTTCATAGGTAGTAGAGTACAGTGAATTCACAAATCAGCTCACCTTGAATTATTTTTGTTTATAACTTCCTAATCAAGAGCAAGAAAAGAAAAGATTAAGGGAAATTCACATTGCTAGAAAAAAATAATGAATGCACACTACTACTCCAGAAGGCTCCTTTCACACGGGCTGAATCTGTGCACGGATTCTCTCCTGATCCGAGCAGTACGGAGTGGCTTTCACCGCTGTGACATCCGTGTCCAAAGACATGTGTCCGTTTACATCTGGTTACCCCAGATCCGCAACGATCCGCTCTGGCGAAACAGATCTCCTAACCGTTTGTTTTTACGGATAACTGGGGGTAACTGGGTGTAAAGGAATGCTCATCAGTTCGCATATGGCTGCCCATAAACTCACATTGGCCATCCGATTGGGTCCTCCAGTCAGTTTGTCAATGTTAGATCAGACCGCCGGTGTGAAAGGGGCCTAAAAGAAAAATTGTGAATGTATTTGTTTTTTTTGCATTGGAGCGAGTAAAGCATTGCAACCGCGATCAGTGGCACACAGGTGCAATGCCCTGGCTCCTGCAGACTCTTCCTCCCGCTCATCTTAATACCTCGTTATGGGCATTCAGCAGACATCCCAAACTGCAAAACCTTATTTCAGGGAGGTTCCCGTCTCATTTCAGGGAGGTAGTCTCGGTGCCTGTACCTGCTCTCAGTAGTCTATGTCCGCCCTGTGCTCTGTGCAGCAAGTAGCCTCTTCCTTCTGAGAGCCAAGCCTCGTTCTGAGGCTACTCTAGAGATCACATGACCTTCCTCCAGGAGGCAAGCCTCACTCTGAAACTTTACCCCCCTCATATCTTACCGGAAAGGTTTACTCCGAGTAAACCTTTCAGGGAGAAAATGCCTCTCTCGCGGACATCAGGGAGCTGCTGTCCAAAAGACTGAGACTCCCTGAACATCAGGGAGACTTGAGATCCCTGCATTCAGCAACATTGATAGGAGGAAGTGTCAATGGTGATGTCACTGCACTTGTATTCCATTGAAGCTACAAATACCTCTACTGCAGTGGTAGTATCTGCCGTAGTATCTCTATTCACAGATCCTGACAAAGGATCTGTGAACGAATGCCGCGGCTGTGTGGGTGGAGCTATGCACTGCCAACAACTGCAGCAGCTTGCAGGGAGAAGAGCCCCATAATTGAGGTAAGTGGGGGGAGGGGGGGGCAAAGGATGTTTCATGTTACACCCTAAATATGGATGTAACCTGAAACCTGGTCAGAAAGGTAAGCTTGGGGCCCATTCACACCAGATTCATTTGGGCTGCACTGGCCATTTTTACCAGCACAGCTCTTATACCAAACATTGCAGTGAAACGCGGTGGAGTGCGCTGAAAAAAAACTACCGCATGCAGTACTTTTTTCAAGGCAGTAGGATGCGACGTTAAACAACCGCCTCGCACCCCACTGTGCCCATAAAACTGAATGAAATGTCACTTGTGACCAGTGGCGGAACTACCACCATAGCGACCGATGCGGTCGCTATGGGGCCCGCGGCACTGGGGGGGCCTGGATCCCCGCTGCTCTCCACCGCTTGTATGGGCTGTGGCAGCGGGGATCCATAAAAAAAGGGCCTTAGGGTAACGGGAGGACACAAACTAGAGGACACAAACAGAATCTGGAGCGTTGCCCATGGCAACCAATCAGCTTCTCTCTTTAATTTTCAAAGCAAGGCTGATTGGTTGCCATGAGCAACTGCTCCAGATTCTCTCTGCTCCATTATTTTAAGAATTCCCCCCCATTCTGTAAAGATTGTACAATCCGATTGTAACGTGTGTGTGTGAGATAAGAACAGACTCAGCTCTCCTTACTGGACCATCACAGACAGACAGCTATCTCTACTGCCACCTGGCGCCATTATTTCACTACACACGCCTATTAACTAATCACTGCCGTTGTCCAGTTAAATAAAGCTTCGCTACATTGATTCCACATAACGGGAGTGAGCTGATGCTGCAAAGAACAACCGCCTCTGTGGATTGGTTCTTGCGTCATTCAACTCGCGCAGTTCAACCAATTAGCGCTAAGGGTACGGGCCCTTGGAAAGCTTGAGACTTGATAGCCTGGTGCGGTGGCCAGTGGGGAAGGGGGAAGGCTTTGATGAGGGCGTGTCATGGCCCCGCAGTCCAGGAGGTTTTGGTGCTGAAGCTCAGAGCAGGGTTCCCGGGCGTAGGGAGGGGAGAGGTAGCGCTGTGAAGCTGCATTGAGGAGCTGCAGGCAGTGCACGCATACAGAGATGAGCAGGTTGTAGAGAGGAGCGGGAGGAGTTCAGTAATGGAGGGGACAGATATATAGAGAGTAATAGAGGAATGTCATATATGTATCCATTGAATGTGCTGGCTTCTGGTACACCTTGTATATAGGACAGTGTGCACTGCTCATTCATTTCCTGTACACAGCCTATAGAGTGCAGCAGGTAAAGTGTATGCATGGACATTGTCAAGTGACGACGTGTTGGGGCGCTGATCTAAAAAGCGACAAGTGAAAGTTACAGGTGAGGTGTCCATAGGGTGGGCGGAGGTAAAACGATGGGATCTGGGGGAGAACTTACTCAATACACCTGGGAGGAGGTCCAGAAACGGTGCACCCGCGAGGAGCGATGGCTGGTCATCAAACGCAAAGTGTATGACATCACAAGATTCTGCATGAAGCACCCAGGAGGACACCGGGTCATCAGCCACTAAAAATCCAGCGGTGGATTTTAATATTGGCAGAATGGGCGGCTGAGGGACCCCGAAATCCAGGGGGCCCACATCACCCATAGGGATGCAAAAAAAAAGCTTTGCACTACATTAACAGGTTTGCAAGTCTTTAGTGCTTGTTCACAACAACCGCACTAAACAAACGCGATGGGAGGAGTAGCGCTGATTCTTAGAACTTTATTGAAATGTCACAAGCGACACTTCAGTCAGTTCTGTTCACCGCAGCAGTGGTTCGCGTTGCAACATATTGCATGCCGTACTTTTTTCAGTGCAAACCACCGCCACACTCCAGTGTGAACTGACCCCGTGTGTTGGACATGCGCTGGGCAAGGCTCCCAAGTGACCCCAATGCACCCGGTGTGAATGGGCCCTAAACTTTCTTTAATCACAAGCAGCAATGGTATTTTCTTACTGTCAGAGACGGCTTCCTTTACAATGATCAGATCACCATAGGCAAGACATAGAACATTTATTTATTACAGGCATTTATACAGCACCATCAACTTACACAGCACATTACATATTGTACATTCACATCAGTCCCTGCACCCAAGGAGCTTACATTAGGTCCCTATCTCACATGCATACATAGAGGGCCAATTGAGACAGGAGACAGTTAACCTTCCAGCATGTCTGTGGAGTGTGGGAGTATATCAGAGTGCCCGGGGGAAATGCACACAAGCATGGGAAGAACATGCCAACTCCATACAGTTAGTGTCCTGGTGGGATTCGATCTGAGGATGCCGGTGCGCATTGCCTATACCTGGGAGCATTGTTTCTACACGCTCTGTCACCATCACATCTGTCTTTGCAAAGAGTATAGACCTGCGTAAGATCCAACTCAAACACTGCCTTCCACTTCCGTTGTGAACACTTCATGTCAGATGACAGGCATAGATTCCTGTTTGCCTCATGCACGATCCCCTTTAACTGGCAGTGGGCCCATATAGCGGAAACAGCCCGGGGCCTGAAATACAATTATTCCACCCCCGGTCATGTCCGCAGGCCTGTCAAGTGGCGGCACAATGCACATATATTAGTATTATTATGAAGTAAATGAATCCCTCGGGTGCAAACAGTAATGTAATCAAAGCGAATGGAGTGGATATGATGATAATACATTTTATAATCACAGAAGACAGATTCAGATTAGTGCAGGGCTGGACAAATCCTGGGAGCCAGGTCGTCAGTGCTCTTTAAAAATGACAGCCGGTGCCTAACTTTTGAGGTTGTTTCTAGTTGGTGTATATGGAGTTGGATACTGAAAAAGATCCTGCTGGCTCCTGAGTTGGACAGACTGGCCCCCCCAAAATTCCATATTAATTTGTCCTCCCCTGGATTAGTATAAAACCATCCAAGTATAATACCCAAGTTTCCTTTTACCACAATGCCCCAGCTTCACGTTATGATCGGTGTAGACTCTCATCCAAGGCACAACATTCAGTTCCTATTGCATATATTCTGTGGAAGAAGAACGTTTCACTGGACTGCAGGAGTAGATCCCAATCATCCTATTGGGAAACACGTGAATATTGGGAGTCATTGTTAATAAGAAAAAACCATCAAATATGAAACCTTCTACAATTGGGTAAAATGGGGAAATTAATCTCCATATACTGTAGCTATTAAGGCCAACGATCTAATATGTATTAGGCAAAATGATTACAAGTGTATGCTGATATTTTAGGAATGCCCATTTTCCTGATTCTTCCACGGATCAGAAATCATACACGTTACAATTCTTATTATACAGGATTTATATAACGCTAACAGTTTGCCCAGCACGTTACAATCTGACCGTATCATCTTTGTACAAGGAATTTTACATGTATCAGAACTTTGTCATATGAGGACCTACCTAATCTATCCAATTTGTATCCAATCAGGCAGGCACTTGTGCTACACAGTTGTTGGTAGATCTAAAGGAGATTGTAATGTGTGTGGTGAGTTTAAGTCTTACTATGATGAGGTAAATAACACCTATGCAAAGGGAGGCTGTGATGATAGAAATATCTACTCCTTTGTTTTTAAAGGTGAAGGCGATGGGCTCCTTAGTCTTGCTTTACTACCTAGTGAGTCATTGACCTCCATTCAGCATTCAGGGTTGGATATCGTCCATTGCTGACTTAGTAGGAGTTATGTCAATATCAGGACGATGGCTAATTTCTTAGCGGAAAACATACTCACCAGACCAGCAAATCTGGCGTTGTCCTGCTGTGATCCGCTGCCACATGCCACCATGCTGCGCCACCATCTTCTTTTGTGGCATCATTGGGCGCTGACTGTCTCTTCCGGGCTCTTGGCCCAACCCGATGACGCATGGCCAGGTCTTCCCACCAGCTGCTGTAAACCCATGCTCCTACAGCTTCCATGGATCCACTTCCACATCCCAGGGGCTGCGCCGCCATCTTCTTTTGTGGCATCATTGGGCGCTGACTGTCTCTTCTGGGCTCTTGACTCAGCCCGATGATGTAGGGCCAGGACCTCCCACCAGCTGCTGTAAATCCATGCTCCTACAGCTTGCATGGATCCGCTGCCACATCCCATGGGCTGCGCCGCCATCTTCTTTTGTGACATCATTGGGCGCTGACTGTCTCTTCTGGGCTCTTGACTCAGCCCCATGACGCATGGCCAGGTCCTCCCACAGGTGAGTCCCTGCTCCTAGCTTCCATGGATATATGAGGGGGGTATCCCAGGAGGTTGTGGGAGCAGAACACGCCATTCATGGTGGCGGGGGGTGGGACCAGTCCAGAAAGTAGAAAGGAAACCAACAAATTTTTATTACAGGGGGATTGCAGGTCTGATGAGTGAAGGTTTCCATTAATATGACCTGGCCAGTAATGGTATTTAGCTATCTGCACAGCCGATCAGGAGCTTATTATAATAAAAGGTATTTGGGATAAAGTTATGATCATGGGGGAAGATTTGCTGTATACACATTATAAAGCACTGCCCTTTGCCGAATCTGTTGACCAGATGTTGCAGTCAGTCCCCAGTCTTACCATACACGTTACAATCTGACCATACAATCTTTGCAGGATCAAATTTAGGTTTACCAAAACGATGTAATATGAGGACCTACCTATTCTATCCAATCAATGTGCATACAATCAGGCAGGCACTTGCACTGCAAAGTTGTTGGTAGATCTGAAGGAGGTTGTACAATCAGATTGTAACGTGTGTGGTGACTGACCAATAGTAGGGAACAACAGCCTCTGCTGCATGCTGATTATATAAAAGGAAACATATCTGAATATGATAATACCGTGGACAGGAAACTGGCAATCATACATTTGTTGCAGAGGAAAGATAATGGAAGCAACATCGATCGCCACCATGCAACAGGAAGAGAGCGCGCAATCTTTATATGGAGTATAATTGTGTGGTGTCTTTATATACTAGTGACACGTATTTACATTTCTATATAAGAATTACAATTACTACAACTTTTTATTGTGTCTTCTGCTGTGTTATGATATGTGTTGTATTCAAATCTATTTTTTGTGAACTTTTGAGCAGGGAAAACGTGGAGAGCAGGTCAGCATGTTCCCGTCCACGTATGCTCGGTGCCGATATCACACGTATGTTTCATCCTGTTCAATGTCAGGTGTTGGCTAGTCTCTGCTCTGGCTGCTCCTATCCATTCACTGGATTGGTGCAGCTTTGTGGTTCCACCGTCTGCTCAGCCCACTTCCCCACCGCTGACATCTCCTCCTCTTTATCCCCCAGAGGTGGAGCTCGTGTTTTTCAGACTGAGCGTAGCATCCAGCTTAGGTTAACCCCTTCCATAACAAAAGGCAAGCGCCTCATGCAGTTAAAGAGCACGCCTGTGTTTCCGAGCTGCGTGATAGCGATGTTATAAGTATATTGTAACTATCAGAAAGTAATGAAACAGTTAAAGGGAAAAGCATTTCCTCTTTTGCGTACCATGAGCAGGTCATAAAGATGATCAGCCAGCGTTTTTTCTTAGTAACTGTTCCAAGCTCCCCGAACAATATAACTACTATTCCTATTCTTATAATGTAGAAACGGTGGGTCACAACCTTTGTGAAATACCGCCAACTTTCATGGGAGCTTAAAATCTACCCTTGCACTGCCCCTAATAATGCCCCCCTGCACTGCAAGGGTTAAATTAAAGCAGAAATGAAATGTAAAAAATAAACCATTGCAAAAAAATATACTTACATGATCCTCAATCCCGCCTGGCTGCTAGACCGGTTCCTGCAGCCTTTTCTCCTCCATTTTCCAGTGGTTTAAGCTGGCTTCATGACATCTAATACAGTCCATTCGCCTGCAATAGATGCTATAGCCACAACACAGAGGGTAAGATGGTGAGATGTGAGTGCTCACCGCCGGCGTTCTAAGGATTAGGTGGGTGTATCTTCTGAATGCCGTCCCTGGACCAAAATGAGCCGTTAACCCTTGCAGTGCGGGGTAGCCCCACTGCAAGGGTTAATGTTAAAAATAATTGGAGTTCCTCTTTAAGTTCTCTCTGACACTCCGAGTTGTGAGTGGGCCTTCGCTGTGCTCACGTACAATGCAGAGCTACTGGCCCTGCATTGTATGTGATGATGTCAGCAGGCAACCGTGGGCCGATGCCTCTTCAAGAAGACGCTTAGGGGGGCCAGCCACACATGTGGAGGGAGCCTGCTGGAGTGGGCAATAAGGCATAAGGGCTCATTCACACTGTGCATTTAGCGCAAGCTATCACACAGCTCACAGTACTGCGCGCTGGTATGTTGTGATGCCATTGATTTTCAGTGGCAGCCCAACACACTTCCCGGTGAGCGTGCATTGCCGCGCTGCACAACACGTTAGCCCAAAACTTGCATTGTCGTGCGGCAGGAAAATAAAGTAATGCATACACTATGGCGGGAAGTGCATTGGGTTGCCATTGAGAATCAGTGATAGCGTGTGCTAAATTCTGTGTTCTTTGCGCTAAAATGATGCACACAACACAGCGCCTTGGTGGGAAAAAGGCCGTATACAAAGCAAGGCTTTTTTAACCTCGTCTCTGCGTTGGGACTGAGTTGGGCACTGGCCTGGCCATCTGCAATTAGGCAAACTGGTTATCAGTGGGTGCATTTTACAGCAACAAGAATCACATACACTGACCAAAGCAGACCTAGTACATTTACGTGTCCTTTGACGCAGGAGCCCTTTGACGCAGGAGTCATTCTTCCCCAAATTGGTAGGATACAAAAATCACATTTTCACAATGGCTATAAATGTAACGTTGCATCATATAAGTATGAACTTTGTCAGTGTAGATATATTAGAAATATTTGTATCTCTTTATCTCACTCCTCCAGGATCCGTTCACTGCATTCCACATTGATAAGGAGCTGGTACAGAAACATATGAAATGTCTGCTGATTGGGGAACTGGCGCCTGGACAGCCTTGTATGGAGCCCAGCAAAAATGTATGGAGCCCTTGTGTTCCCTGGCATAGCATTCCTCTGCCCTGTAATTTGTCTGCCTCTGATGTTTGATGTTGTCTCCCACAGGCGGCTATGGTGGAGGATTTCCGCACGCTGCGCTCCACCGTGGAGCAGATGGGTCTCCTTAATCCAAATAAGTTATTTTTCGTTGGAGTTCTTCTGCACATCCTGCTGCTGGATGTACTGGCCTGGCTGAATCTGTATTATTTTGGCCCTTCGCTCATCCCATTCCTGATCACATCTCTGATCCTAGGCACTGTTCAGGTAACGAAAACGGGTATGGAGTTATTTCAGACTTTGAAAGAGCAGTTACAACCTCAGGACAGGGCGCTAATCTCAGCAGATCCCATATGCCGTTTTCTTGTCATTTAAATGATCAGGTGCTCAGCAAATGTCATCACTACTTTGCAACACAAACTCATGATGGTTGTGTGCAGATTTCCTATCACCATTCATGAAATGGCAACTGAATCTAAAACTTAAAGACAACTTCTACTTTAAAAAAAGAATAATAAATGCACACAGTGGCGTAACAATCACCATTGCGACCCAGGCGGCCGCTATGGGGCCCGAGGCACGGCGGGGCCCGGCCAGGACATCTCCCTGATGCCATGCGGGCCGCCTGGGTCACTGGCGGCTGTGAGGAGGAACGCTCCGTTCCTTCTCACATCCGCTGCTGAGTTGGTGACAACCAGCAGCTTCGCAGGAGGTGGCTAGCTGGGGCCATCATCGGCAATGATTGAGGAGGCGGGGCCCGGTGATCGAGGGGGTGGGGCCCGGTGATCGAGGGGGCGGGGCCCGGCGATCGAGGAGGTGGGGCCCAGTGACGGAGTAGTCGATCGTGGAGGAGGCGGACAGAGGATCAGGGCTGACAGGTAAGAGGGCTTGACCGCCTGCCTGAGACCCTGCACAGCCTACCAGAGAGTCTATGGTGGGCTCTGCAGGGTCACCCTTAGGTGGGCTGTTTGGGTTATCAGGTGGGCGTAACTAGAACTCACAGGGCCCCATACAAAATGTTGCTATGGGGCCCTGTGATTTCTAGTTACGCCCCTGAATGCACACATAAAAAAAAACACTTTCAATGGTATATTTAAAGGGACATTAAAGTCAAACTTTTTTTGCCCCTGCCCAATCCTGCTGTAGGGACTTACCTTAAATGATGCCTCTTAATCCGATCATCTTCTTCTTTAGTGCAATTTTCAGATGTCCCTCCAGCGCTGGTGCGGGTCTCCGATCCAGCGCTGACTCCTCTGTCCTCTTCTCTCATGTCCCACGGAGTCTGGGAGGGGGCAGGAACAGCTGGCTCATTTGTATTGAAATTATAGTCTATCACGGGAGCCCACACTAGCTCTTTTTCAAGTCAAGCGAGTATTTGAGCTATTTTTATACAAAGTACTTTTTGAAGTTCTTCATGAGGTTAGCGGTGGCATCCCATGTAATTCCCTAATGACAGGTTTACTTGAACACAGCTGGTACACTGCAGGGTGGTTGTAAAACGAATATGGAATTTTCCTGTTATCAGTTACATAATTTACTATGCTAGTCAAGTTCTGTAAAGCTGGGTATACACTAGTAGATTGTTTTGTTTAGCTTTCAGGCTGAATATAAAAAGTCTAACAGATTCCCCCATCCATGCTAAACGGCGCTGCGGCTGTTGTATACGAACAGTCGCCCCCTGCTGGTTCTCAAAATACCTCAAGAGTGCCTGCATCTGTATGGATACAGACCATGTTCGTCCAACAATTTTCCGCCCGGCTCTATCGATTTTTCATTCGAAGGATGTCAGGCAGGAGGCAGCAGACAAGGCCACCCACTGAGCGAATTGATGAACTGGCCCAAATTCGCTCAGTGCATAGCCAGTATCAGACAAGCTTAGTGTAAGCCTTCGGTGCCTTCAACCCTGTGACCTCTGCACTAAAAAGAGGGTGAGACTTTGTGTAAGGTGGGCAGAGCTCCATGACTCCATTAATTTGGGCACACTTACACATGTTTTTTTAGGCTTCACTGCTGCTGTTTGCAAAACCTTGTACTACATATGAAACATGCAAATACTGAAACTGATATTGTCCCTGCTATGGCAGACATAGTCAGCAAGGAGAACTATTGGACCCCCACATTCAATTAATTCCCAAGAACAAGCACTTATTGAGTGCGCAAAGATGATGTAGGTGAAGAATAGCCATTGTGATGCCCTGAACTGTCCTATGGCCTATAATATACAACATGGGTCAGACCCGGAACTTCCCCTTTACCCAGTGCCCATATGGAATCAATAGGTAATGCATTCTAGATGTCTCATTGTTAGTCATAAAATAACTGAACAAAACTTCATCTATCTCTGGGTGTCTAGGTTGTCTGTCATAGAACGTAACACTGCTGGGGCATGCAGAATTACTGGACTAATGAAGTATAGTCTACCAGTAGGCATAGTTGTGTGCTTGTAGACAGAAGAAGCAAAGAGTCTGCTTTTCCTTGTTATATATAGTAATATAGTCATCTTACAAAAAATAGTATTATTTTAAGCCAGGCTAAGACCAGTAAAATAAGATATGCTGTGTATAGAGGGGATCCTGGCAGGGCACCCCAGTGATGGGAATCTGGCGTTTGGTATAGCTGATCATCATGTAGGTCATCATTTGAAGCAATGTGTGTCTTTCTTTACATTTGGCATTGACTGACATTATCTCATCATTCTCTCTCAGGCTCAGGCTGGGTGGCTGCAACATGACTTTGGCCACCTGTCAGTTTTCAGCAAATCAAAGTGGAACCACATAGTACATCAGTTTGTGATTGGACAATTGAAGGTGAGTGTGATCTAATTTATATAAACAATATGATTGTATTAATAACACATTGCATATGCACTTGCTGAGTGTCTGCTGACTGTCTGTCTTCTGATGGGGATTGCTTTCTTTGTAGATAATTTTCCAGTAATTACTGTCTACATGTTCATGTAGATCTTCTATAACTTGCTTTTCATACTGTCAGTGTATATAATTCGTATGCATGCTGTTTGTGTTTTTTCATGAGCTCACCCATCCCCAATATTCAAGCTCTTGCCATCTCTGATTGTTTTTGTATGCTTTCTATGTGTAATTTCCTCTCTTTCCTGGCACAGGGTGCGCCTGCCAGCTGGTGGAATCACTTGCATTTCCAGCATCATGCCAAACCCAACTGCTTTCGCAAGGACCCGGATATTAATATGCATCCACTTTTCTTTGCGCTGGGAAAGAAGCTATCAGTGGAGGTAAGAACATATACAGGGTTATTCACAGATGGGTGAAGAGTTTGGAGAAGACAGGAGAGGTGAACAATCCAGGACAACAGCTGATCTGGAAAGTGAGCTGAAATTGGATAATTTTTCCAAATCAGCTATTTTGGCCTAAATTGTTCAGCTCTCCTGCCTTCTCCAAACTCTTCACCCTTAGAGAATGGTAGAATGTGCCTTTAAGAAGTTTAAAATTGAACTCTAGGCGGAAATTTAAAAAAATATTTATTGCAGCTATGCATGTAAAAATAGATTTTCTTACATGTAACTGTTATACTTGGATCTATCTTTATAATAAAGAATACCCCTGCACATCAGCATTCACACTGGGACAGGGCAAGGCATGACTGACAACCAGTCAGGACTCTTGTTACTTTGCACAGTGCTGTCAAATACCGTGAACATGCTTACTAAAGAAGCGAGCACAGGGCTACATTATCAATGTGCTGCCCCTCCTTTATTGTCTTTTCAGCGGCTTGGACGGGTGGTTGACAAAGCTGTATTGCTTAAAGTAGTATTAAACTCTCAAACATTTTTCAATAATGAATCCAGATCAAACAAATATACATTACCCAGCACAGTATTTATTTTATTTTGTTTGCCCAAGCACTTACAGTCATCATGTTTCCAAACAGCTCCAACTCTCTCAGCTCTGCTTTCTCTGAAATTCCTCTTGAGTACAAGATTAGCATTCTCCAGCAACTATCCATATACTAGCTTGAGAAAGGGATGAGGGTGGAGCAGGAAGCAGGGGAGTGACTTGCCTTGCTGTGTCTGTGGAGACACAGAAAGCTAACTAGCACACACAAGGGTGGCTCCATAGGACCCTGCAAGGGAAATGAGCCACCCCAGTATATCAGGACCAGTGCTCAGGGGACCAGATGATTCTGCAGGAAACTAAAACTTGTAAACATCTGTAGCTCCAGCCAGCGCTAGAGGAGCAGAGAGGAGAGGTGGGAATCCCTGCCAGGGGCAGTGACTGACAGTCACTGGAATCTGCTGGGAGCAGTGACAGAGAGCTGACAGACCGAGCTGTGATTGGTCAGCTCTCGATCCTAGAACCGGCATGAGACAGCTGCAGTGTTCAAAACCAGCTCTAAGCATCAGGGAGGGTATGTGCACTCTCCCCATACTTCTCCTTTCATAAGTATACTGCATTAACAAAATAGTTAGATGCAGAAAAATATCTAGTCAGAAAAAAACATCACTCATATCTCTGTTATGAACCTGGCTTGCTTGCAATCACAGCTGTCAGATTTTATCCAGATGCCTTTTACCCAGTGGCGTCACAAGGAGGGTGCGGCCCGCACCCGGGTGACACCATTGGGGGGGGTGACAGTCATTTTGGTGTCACCACCTCTAAAAAGTCGGGCACTCAGTCATTGACCGAGAGCCGACAGTGTCAGGAGAGAGGAGGGGACACAGCGGCATACCTAATTCCGCCGGGTGAACGTCCCCTCCTCTCTCTGCCGGCGTCCACCCGCAGACATCAATTAGATGGTCGCGCATGCGCAATGACATCACTGCACACGTGCCGCGGGACGCCCCTGCTTTTACCTTGCACCCAATAAGCGTATGTATGAACACATACTAGATAAAAGTGCTCACACTGCATACAACATACTGTAGTACATATGTGACATCATATTAATTGGATTTAACATGGATTGTTAGGGGTCAAGGATACCAAATCATGTAACCTGATTATATCATTGATTGTGACATGGGAATGCTTAGATACCTTCTTCATGGCTAATCTAGATTCTTTTGGTCTTTGTTGCTTATCGTTCTGCTTTGATTTCTCCACAGCTTGGAATTAAAAAGAAGAAATATATGCCATATAATCACCAGCACAAGTACTTTTTTCTGAGTGAGTATACATACATTACCGGCATACCGCAGTTAAGTGATCATGGACCAGTCCCTGTCTAGCATGACAATTCTGTTTTTTTTCTGTTTTGTAGTTGGTCCTCCAGCGCTGCTTCCCCTCTACTTTCAGTGGTACATTTTCTACTTTGCTGTCCAGCGCAGGCAGTGGTCTGTAAGTACAGTTTAATTAAAGGAAATTTTATAGCTGAATCGAAACAGTGTGGGGGAACTGTACGTAGTGCCAATAGCAACTCATCACCACCTCCCTATTGTGTTTTTCAGCAGATTAGAAATGGAGAGGGAGAATCTGATTGGCTGCTATGGGCAATACAGGCAGGCCTTCTTTATGAGACTTTAAAAGATAAAAAATGAAAAGGTGAACTAACTCACAACACACTCCCCATCTTGGCCCCACTGCACTTAGCTGCTTAGATTAAATACTTCAACACCAATGCCAGCCATTGTAGCAGGCCGTACGCTAGAAAAGTACGCTACACAGCTCTGGAGATTGTGTAGCATCATCATGCTGCCAAAGGTGCGCTGTCTCTAATAGTGATCTCTTCAGATTCCGAGATGCCATCCCTGAAGAAAGACGACTCGGAAGAGATTCTATTTGGTCAGCAAGGTCACATACCGGCACTGACCAATGACTGCTCACCGTTGTTAGCATTTGGATGCTACACAGCCTCCGGGGCTGTGTAGTGAAGCTTTAAATTGTGTGATCCGTTACAGTTGCCAGCATGGGTGGCGAAGTATGTAATCTAAGCAGCTAAGTGCAGTGGGGTCTTGAGGGTGAGGAGGGTGATGTGAGTTAGTTCACCTTTTTATGTTTTGTGAAAAGGTGAACTAACCCATTAAGTAGATTGCAACTGACTCATTTCTCCTTCCAGGATTTGGCTTGGATGATTACATTCTACGTGCGGTTTGCCTTTTGTTATTTCCCGCTACTTGGGGTTGGTGGCACAATCAGCATGTTTATGTTAGTCAGGTACGTATATACATTACAGGTTCAGAAAAGCCAGATGAAGAATGATATGAGTTACTGGTGACTCAGGCTTTTGTATGTTGTAGCTGATGTGTTGTCGAGCTGAGTTTTACTTGTGATGTGTTAAGCACGGGAAAACAAAACACCTTTTCTGAAAGGCAACTACTGTATGTCATAGGAGAAAGCTTCAAGCATTGAGAACACAGCACCACATAAAGGGAAATTCTTAGCAGCAAACTAAAGGAAACCTGTGGGTTCAAATGTATGGAAGCAACTAGGGATGCACCGGTTCGGGTTTCAGTGACGATACCGAGTATTTGGGCGAGTACTTGTACTCGCCCAAATGCTCCGATACTTAGCCAATACCGAAACTTCCGGTCAGAGAGAGATTCTCTCAGACCGGCAGTGGCGCGAGGGAGGATGGAGCCGGCTTCCCGGCCAATCAGGAAGCCAGGCAGGCGGTTAATGAAGCCAGGCAGCCGGCTGGCTTCACTTGTCGCTATGCAGCCTGACTTCTTGACCAATCAGGAAGCCAGGCCGCATGTCATGACCCGCCTCCTGGCTTTCTGATTTGCTAGGAAGCCGGCTTCACTTGTGCTAACTCAGGGGAATTTTTGGCTCCCACTGACCACTAATGCAGGGGCATTGTTTTACCCCCACTGACCACAGTCTGGCCCCAGAACAGTGTGAAGGAACCTGGCCATTTGTTTAAAACTTTTAGGGACCCCTGATTAATAGCCACCACCTTTTCCACATAATATTTGCAAATAAGAAACAGAAAACCAATGCAACGAATACACAGTGTTAGTCCATTTAAATGTCTTTACATTTTTTTAGTAAATAACCACCCCATTTCTCTTTTGTTTCTTTATTAATCCTACAACCTTCTCCACTGTGGATTTACTCTGCACTCACTCACAAATGTGACCGCTAAATTAATAGAAACTATAACATGGTATTTGATTATTCGCGTGTCACCGTAAATCCGTCCCTTTGACAACTTTCCGTCACTCCAGTTTTCCCTCCAATCACTTTTCCGACTCTTCTCTTCTTGTATCCCACAAAATAAAAAACACAATAATGGGGCTTTAAAAGTGTCTATGAAAGAATGTGGGATAACATAGCTAACCCTATTAATAAAATACAATGGGTAGTCCAATATATAAAAAAGTTTTTATTCCATTATCTCAATAAATAAAATTTAAAACATTTCATTTTATCTAAAAAGTTTACAAAAATAGATGATTGGATAAATAAACCTCCCTGGACTCCGTGCCAATACATGATATACATATTTGCAATATATTTCATATTTTGGGTCATGCATTTCATAAGCAATATCTTTACATCATTTCAAGGCAATCATATTAGTCATTATTTTATCTGTGATAGCACTAATCCAGCCCTCGTTTTGCCACAGCTTCATCAGGAAGTTTGTTGGAGGTAGCCATCTTTGAAATGTCTATTTTTATAAATGAGTCCACAACTGAGACAATTCTAGTAATAAATATATAAATGGTTTATATTGCACATTGGTGGATATCAACATTATAATAAAACCCAATTCCATACATACATACATCTTAGAAAATTAGGTAATGGATGAATGGATGAGTCCGCATCTCTGGTGGACTCGAACTCACCAGGAAGGAGAAAGGGTGAAGAGAACACACCGGCGGCAGATCAAAGGGGATAGCACATCTATCCTGGAGTTCCTACAATAGTTACAATGTAAACCATATTGCCATCCAAAACATTAATCTTCTAAAAAACATAGGTAGTGGTCCAAATCTGTATATATGGATTTAAATAAAAGTATAAAGATAAGCCTGAATGTAATCACATCCATGGACCAGAGAAATAAAATCCTCAGTGCATTCCATCCATATTAGCAACTTCAGAGTTTCAAAACAAAATGTATCAACTGTATCAAAATCGTAAGGACTTGTTCACACCAAATGCAGAGCAGATCCGCTCAGGTTTCTGCACACGCAGTGCACTGGGTTTTGCCCCGTTTTTGATGCGTTCCGGGCCGTTTTTGGTTTAAAAAGAACAACAATTTTTTGTTAGTTTAACATGGGCTTTCAGTGCGTTCCAGGCATTTGCATGCATTTTTGATGAGTTCCAGAGCAGATGCAGAGCAGGTAAAATAGGGCCTGCTGCAGTTTTTTTACCTGCTCTGGAACTGAACGCTCCGATGTAAACTGGAGCTAAAAATACCATTGGAATACATTGGACGCAGTTTTGATCTGGTCTGCACCTGCTCCGCTCTTGGTGTGAACAAGGCCTAAATCTCCCGTGTCATTAACAACTCAAGTTGCCACATGTCTCTAGATAGATCCAAAATGTATCCAACATCTCTCTCATAATGATACTACTATATGCATAGCTGGCCAAATTGCTCAAAATAAGTTACAGATAGGTATGTGAACCACTCCTGATATTTGAAATGTCAAAAACTACACTTAAATGCAAAAACATATTACGTCATTGTAGGAAGGAATTCTTTTTATGCATTGAATCTAGGGGTGTGGTGCCCCAGTTCCGATGGGTGCTCCGGGAAATATTAGTTTTTTAGTTTTTATCCCACAAAATAAAAATACTCATGATGTAATATTGCAAATGTTATTTAAATTTTAACTATGAACTCTTACAGAAATCCTGTGTAAATGTTAGGTGATTTAAACCGGAAAGGTAGAAAGACGCAAAGGAGTAGAGTATTCTGTACCCTATGAAGGGGTTTGTGTCAGAGGGCCTGCAGTAATCCAGCCAAGAGAGCCCCAGGGCCCACGGCTCCAATTTATCTAAAACCAGCCCTGCCACTAACATTGCTGGTCAGTGTAGAAGTGACTACTTACATTAGTAGGGACTGCTCAAGAAACCCTTAAAGGAGAACTATGAGATGAGTGATTTCCACTCACCTCATAGTTCTAGCCGACCTGTGACAATGAGACTGTCACAGGTCGGCTCAGTAGATCGGGAGGTGAGCGAACACATACCGGGTTCGCTCACCTCTCGATCCTGTCACGGCTCTCTGCCGTGACAGGGGGAGGGGCTGGATTCCCCTCTCCCCGCTCCGATCTGCCAGCGCTGACTGGCGGAACGGACGGGGGAGGGGGCGGGTACAGCTGGCTCTGCCTCTAGATAGGCAGAGCCAGCTGTCACTCACGCAGCTGGGTGGATCTCGACGTCGATGTTGGGATCCGCTCCGGCTGCGGCGTCTCAGTATACCGCGAGCTGTAGCTCGCGGTATACTGAGCTTAGGGTAACGGGAGGACGCTAGTTTGTGTCCTCCCGTTACCCTAAGGAGAACTATGGGGAAAAATACTGACCCCATAGTTCTCCCTTAACTACCTCAGGAGGACCCATAGTTGAGAAAAGCCGACCTACACTATCCACAACTAAAAAAAAATGTTGCTATAGATCCCATTCTGTTTTACTATTAATTTGCATAAAATAAACTTGATGGATTTACAGTATTTCTTTTTTTTTCTTTGGTAGACCCCCTATCATATTTAGTGATGCTTATCTTGCCAATGGGTTATTTTGTGATTAGTTGCCTTTGGGATAATGTTTGAGGAGTTTTGTAGTGTTTTTTGTTATTATTTCTTGAGCTTTAAATGACTTCTGCATGGTGTCATTGCTTTGAGCTAACATTTTTTTTTCTTGCACAATAAATAACAGTATACAAATTCTCTCTGATATGTTAATATGTCAAGGGAAAGCTTGATCAAATGGCAAAGGTAATGCTTATATGATTCTAATGTATTTTAATATATTTTAGGTTCCTAGAGAGTAACTGGTTTGTGTGGGTGACACAGATGAACCACATTCCAATGAACATAGACTACGATCAGAATAAGGAATGGCTTGTGGCACAGGTAACCATCAATCATTGTCTATATTTCCTTCTATAGATATACTATACACTGAGTGGCCAGATTATTATGACCACCTGACGTTTGTAGGCAAATTTGCTATAATTAGCTATAATTTTGCGCTGAAGTTGCTAGAGGGCCAGACCATTATAAATAGGGAAGCAGGTTGTTTAGCACGACAGTAGAAGTGATTTTTTTTCTGAAGATATGGGTAAACAACGTGATTTAACAGCCTTTGAACGTGGGATGATTGTTGGCGCTCGGAGCCATGGAGCGAGTATTAGCAAAACAGCAGAATTCGTTAAATGTTCAAGAGCAGCTGTTGTTAAAATGTTTAAAGACTGGACTGTCAGCCGAAAATCTGGGTCTGAACGTGCGAATTGTTGCTGTCAGCGACTAGTCAATGTTAGGGCAGAACGGAGAGTGGCAAGACTGGTACAAGACAACAGAAGGGCAACAGTGCAGTGTCAGATTCCTCGCATCACCTTTCAACATCTCGTGGAGTCACGAGGCGGCCCAACGAAGTACTGATGGGGTGGTCATAATAATCTGGCATTTTGCCATCATACTGATCTTTTATGACCAAATTATGTTTATTCCTACATTATAAACTGACCTGTGAAAGACCACTGCAGTTTTGGGTAACTGTGTTATCTGTTCCTGCACGCTCCTTTTAATATTACGATATACACTCACCGGCCACTTTATTAGGTACACCTTGCTAGTATCAGTTTGGACCCCCTTTTGCCTTCAGAACTGCCTTAATTCTTCATGGCATAGATTCAACAAGGTGCTGGAAACATTCCTCAGAGGTTTTGGTGCATATTGATATGATAGCATCATGGGCCCAAAGTGTGCCAAGAAAATATCCCCCACACCATAACACCACCACCACCAGCCTGAACCGTTGATACAAGGCAGGATGGATCCATGCTTTTATGTTGTTTACGCCAAATTCTGATCCTACCATCTGAATGTTGCAGCTGACATCGAGACTCATCAGACCAGGCAACGTTTTTCCAATCTTCTATTGTCCGATTTTGGTGAGCCTGTGCGAATTGTAGCCTCTGTCTCCTGGACTTAGCTGACAGTAGTGGCACCCGTTGTGGTCTTCTGCTGCTGTAGCCCATTTGATTCAAGGTTGGACGTATTGTGCATTCAGAGATGGTATTCTGCATACCTTGGTTGTAACGAGTGGTTATTGGAGTTACTGTTGCCTTTCTATCATCTGGGACCAGTCTGCCCATTCTCCTCTGACATCAACAAGGCATTATCGTCCACACAACTGCCGCTCACTGGATATTTTTCTCAGACCATTCTTTGTAAACCCGAGAGATGGTTGTGGGTGCAAATCCCAGTAGATCAGCAGTTTTTGAAATACTCAGACCAGCCCGTCTGGCACAACAGCCATGCCACGTTCAAAGTCACTTAAATCCCCTTTCTTCCCCATTTTGATGCTCGGTTTGAACTTCAGCAAGTCATCTTCACCACGTTGAGATGCCTAAATGCATTAAGTTGCTGCCATGTGATTGGCTGATTAGCAATTTGTGTTACCAAGCAATTGAACAGGTGTGCCTACTAAAGTGGCCGGTGAGTGTATTTATCCAATGAAACAAAATATCAAAGAATATAGTCAGAGCCTTTACCTATAGAGATTAGTGTGATCTTCCAGCAGCTGTATTTACCGAACACTTCACATTGCAGAAGAAGGTCACAAATGGGAGCCATAGAAAAAACTGTGGTGGATACAGAAACATTTGTAATGTTATTAGCAGTGGCGGAACTACCGCCGGTGCTCCGGCACTGGGGGGCCCAGCACAGTCCCTGTGCATAGATGGTGGGACTTGCCGGCCGCCGGATCGGTATCCAGCGGCCGGCGGGCCCCCACTCTCTGCGCCAATCGGCCACCAAAACATATTGGCCGAAAATGGCACTTTTGGCTTAATGCCGAAAGTGCCATTTTTCTGCCGATACAGCAACGCATCTCTTCTTTCTTTCCTCCTTGCTGGGCGCTGCTCTGTGTACCAGCGGGGTGGAGAGAAAGTGTGACAGCCGGCCGAGCGCTGGGTGAGGAGAGCGCTGTGTTTGTGGGTTTTTTTTTTGGGGGGGGGGGGGGCAAAAAAAAATCTTGCACCAGGGCCCTTTGTTCCTTAGGTCCGCCACTGGTTATTAGGTACTTGTCAAGGTACCTGAAGGCTCAGATTTGCAGAAACCATTGATTATCCAAAGAGTAATCTACAGCCCTGATAATGTTTGATGAGTACCTTCCATAGCACTGTACTTTATTTCTTCTCCTCTCTCACCCAGCTGCAAGCCACATGCAATGTGGACCAGTCTCTGTTTAACGATTGGTTCAGCGGACATCTCAATTTTCAAATTGAACATCAGTAAGTATATGAGAAGGGGCTGAAGCGGTTTTAAACACTTCCTATAACACTATTAACAATGATCGCTTTCTATTTTCAGTTTATTTCCCACAATGCCAAGACACAATTACTGGAAGGTCGCTCCTCTGGTCCACTCACTTTGCAAGAAGTATGGCATCGAATACCAGTCCAAACCACTGTTTACTGCATTTGCTGATATAGTTCAGTAAGTTACATTACCTTGAGATCTTTCCATTAGAATATGACTACTTAGTGCAAGTGATGAGCTGAGGCTTGGTGCAAACCCAGTTCAGGAATGCCCCTGCCACAACTACCGCCATTGATTAGCCCAGTAAGAGGAGGTGTTGGTCACAGTTTTGAATGGGCTTGGGTGAACTCAGAGGAACTTGGTCACTACTAGGCACTTGGCTGATGCCTTTGGCCCAAGTAATGCAAGTTGCTCACTGTTTGGCAACTGTCACATAAACTAATTTCCTCACATCAGCAAGAAAGTGCCATCAGCTGCACCATAAAAAGTTACCATGTGACAACATACACATTTCAGAATAGATACAATAGTTGAAGGCAACAAAAATCTGCAGGTGGACAAAGGAACCCTTTAAGACCCCATTCACACTGAGCGACATGCAAATCGCGCGACATTGAGCGACATTGAGCGACGTTGAGCGACGTGTCGCGCGACATCTTCCTATTGGGCTGTATGCAATCAGGAGCAATATCGCTCAAAATCGCTCTAAAAAAGGGTCATGTAGAAGCGACAAGCTACCATCGACGAGCTACAAGCGATATTGAGCGACATTGAGCGACGAGATGTGAACAGCTACATTGAAATGTATTGGTGAAGCTACATAGAGCGATATAGTGCGGAAATATGAGCGATATCGCTGCAAAAATCGTGCGATAAATCGCTCAATGTGAACGGGGCCTAAAGTGGGAAAATAGATATATGCAAATTGACTCGCCAAAGAATGTGTTATTCTGTTTAGCCAGTCTTGTGATTCAGTAGAGAACAGGAATCACCAGCACTCAATAAGTAGTTTTCAAATAGTAAACCTCCATTTAATCGGACATAACGTCACAAACGAAAGAACCAACGTTTCGGGCCGCACAGGGCCCCTTATCAGGTCACATTGTTACCCTGATGAAGGGACCCTGTGCAGCCCCGAAACGTTGGTTCTTTCGTTTGTGACGTTATGTCCGATTAAATGGAGGTTTACTATTTGAAAACTACTTATTGAGTGCTGGTGATTCCTGTTCTGTACTGTTGATGTGCAGGGTGCCATCCGTGATTGTCACTACAAGCACCAATATTACAATTTCAGGAACGCTGTAAGGAGTGCAGAGGGACTCTCTATTCTTCAGTCGTGTGATTCAGACACTTGTAAGACACTGAATATCCAGTTGGATGAAATTGTTGTTTATATTTCGGGTTTGAAGCTTCTGTTACATGCCTGGTCATTGGACAATGTGTAATATGTGAAGATGCTGATTCATTGTCTGATGAACGGCCAGGTGGCATCACAAGCTGCAAAACTGAACCAGGCCAATGTGGAGTCATCTCTGCAGGTTGGCAGATGTATGTCAATCACTAATTTTGTTCTGTATGGTCCCTGTGTGTGTGTTGTAAAGTAGCCACCACTCCAAGCTTGTTCCCGTGATGGAATAAAACTTCATGCTTAGTTTACTGATTTGTATTGAGATTGTAGTCCGTCACGGGAGTGAGCTTGGAGCGGTAACTACTTTACAACACACACAGGGACCATGGGGAACAAAAGTTGCCACCCCCCAGAAGGAAGGACAATGTCAGCACCAATTCAGAGATGATTGGAAGATCTACAGCCGAGTGATACACAAATAAGATACATTTTTGTTAATAGTTAGGGTACCTGAATGTATTTTTAAGATTTTACTCCTGAGTTTAGTGTCACTTAGCTACAGGTGATACAGGAATGCCGTGCATCGGCATGGTGTCCTGAAACTCCTAGAAGCCATCTAAGAGTTGCAAACTGACCAGGCCAGCACAAATCTGCTTTACATGGTCAGATTGCAACAGCAAAGCGGGGGGCTGGCAGGATAACCAGGGATTTCTTTGCAAACTATTAAAAAAGGGGGAACAGCTTACATTTTAACCAGTTGACATCCGCGGTGTTAAACCCCCTTCCCATCCAGGCCATTTTTCAGTATTCAGCGCTGCGGTACTTTAACTGACATTTATTCCGTCATGCAGCGCTGTACTGAAATGAATTTTATACCCTTTTTTGGGGACAGATAGAGCTTTCTTTTGGTGGTATTTATTCACCACTGGGGGTTTTATTTTTTTAATATATTAAGGAAAAATGAACATGGACACGTACATGTAATAATAAACTTTGGGCGACACACACTTTAAGACTTTTGGTATATATCACTGTGTATCACGCTTAGTGATTCCCTGCCCTGTTATCCTGGCTTAATTTGTTCTCATAAAACAGGTTATGCACGTAAGCAAATGTAAATGCAGTTCCTAAATATCTCAAGTTTTATATGGTTATGGGAACAGAACATAACGCATAGTATGTTTACTGGTTCTCTGCATATGCATGACCTATTTTGCATTGTGTGTCCTGCAGTTCCCTCAAGGAGTCTGGGGAGTTGTGGCTAGATGCGTACCTGCACAAGTAAGGAGTCACCAGTCTACCGGATGAACATCGGAGGTATAAGAAAGCCCAGGGAACTATTGCTGCCAAGAACATTGTATTTCACAACATTCCTCTAGTGTCCACTCTGCTACGTAATCAGCCCGGACCTCTGAAACCCTGCAGAGCTGTAATGTTAGCCCCTCACAATCATGACAGATGAATGCATTATAGCCTGGCAAGGCTAGACCCTAATATTTCTATCCAGTATCTTCCCTTCTGTGCATAATCTGGGTGCAACAATGGACAGTGGATGGCCATGACATGTCACTTATTTAGTGGAAAGCCAAACAATGTAAAAGCCAATAAAATGACTTTCAATGTTTATGAAATGTAAGAACAGTTCTGAGCTGCCTGTACCCAGAAGGAATAGGATAATAGGAATGTTTTATGATTGTTGGGGAAAAACATACAAATAGGTAAAAAAATATTTAAGAAGCATAGTTGAGGAATAATATGAGTATATGTCTGTGAAGTATATGAGCATAGACTTTTTACTTTTAAGATATCCAAAGTGTACAGTTCTTTATTATACTGTGTGTGGATCATAATCTCTGCTCCCTAAGACCCCTAACCCCCCCCCCCCCCCAACGCGCCAAAAAAAACTGGACCTGACTTTTTTATGCCCTTGACTTTTCTGGTTTTAATATTGAGGTGATGTTGTCCACATTTGTTGTATGAGCAAGTTTACTTAGATAATGTATGTGCTGTGCAGTTTAAGAACTATCTGTATGCTTGTGGCAGCCAAAGGCAGAGGCTGACCGTATCTAATGCTCTATTTGTTCCTGATTAAGACATATCAAAAACTGTTAATATCACCTTGAAGGTTCAGTGCACCCAAAACTGGCATTTCTGCTTTTGGGAGACGCTGGTGATTTGAACCACACCAGTTTATCTGCCTGGGGATTCCAGTGACAAGTTTTTGAATTGCTCGAGTCCACCTACCTGCCATGGACATAACCGTAGACGCTTCTGATTTTTCATTCATTTTATATTACTAGGAATGTAGAAGAAAGAGAGTCATGTTAATGCAGAGCTCAGAACTATAGCAGGATGATCTCTAGCCAGTTCAAACACTACAAAGAAAAAAAAAAGTACTTAACTCAAATTGCTGGTCGTCATGAAATGCGTCGGGGAGCTCAGTCAGGTTGCGCAGTGTACAAAGGCATTGATTGCAACTAGGGATGTTCACATATCAAGTACAGATCGGTACAAGTACAGATACTTTTCCAGCTCCAAGACTAGACTAGAGAAAAATTCAAAAGTTAGGAGGCAGCTGTGATTTGTAAGGAGCACACGGAGCTCCTGGGATTTGTACATCTCTGTTCTAATGTATGATTTTGTGATGCACCAATACCATTTTTCCAAGTACAAGTTCTGATACATATCCAAGTACTTACAGATCCAAGTACTGATACATTTTTGTTTAGTGTCATGTGACTAATGATTTTAGGACAGTGGTGGAGAGCCAGAGCTAGGTCCCAGCTACAACTGCTGCAACCCTGGTAGTTCTCATGAAAATGCCAAGTATCGGCACTGGTATCTGAACTGGTATCGGTGCATCCCTAATTGCAACTTTTCTTTGATGCCATGTGAGTCAACTTGCCAGCATGTACCAAAAATTGAAAGACCGGTTTTGCGTGTAGCGATCTATTAAAGGAAACATGTAGCTGGAGAGCATGTAGGCTGCAATTGCTGACCTCTCCTCCTAAAAATGCACGTTGCTTCAATACTTTCTCAGGCACTGAATTAGAATGCGTATGCAGATCAGAAGCATTAAATTCAACCTGATTTTCTAACCTGCATGCTTGTTCTAGGATAGTAGCTGATAAAGTAGTCTAGATCTAGTCAGGCAACTGGTATTCTGAAAAGGAGATCATCTATTGGAGCCCCCATATGTTTCTCAGGACTTTCTTTTGTCTTTAAATGAGAACTATGGCGTCAGGGCTTTTCCCCATAGTTCTCCTAAGGGTCACGGGAGAACACAAACCAGCGTCCTCCCTTCACCCTAAGCTCAGTATACCGCAAGCTACGGCTCGCGGTATACTGAGACGCGGGAGCAGCCGGGACAGATCCCGACAATACTGTCTGGATCCACACAGCTGCCGGATTGACGGCTGGCTCTGCCTATCCAGAGGCAGAGCCAGCTGTGCCCGCCCCCTCCCCCGTCCGTTCCGCCAGTCAGCACTGGAGGATCGGAAAAGGGAGGGGGGGAATACCTGCAGGGAGCCGTGAGTGACAGTCACGGCTCTCTGCCGGGATAGATCGAGAAGCGTTCGCTCACTTCCCGATCTACTAAGCCGACCTGTGACAGTTTCATTGTCACGGGTCAGCTCAGATTATGAGGCTGAGTGAAAATCACTCTCCTCATTATTATCCTTGAAAGTGCCCTGTATTATGGAACAAGCCTGACACCTGGTGGACACTTCTTGTATTGCATACTCCTAACAAGCATAGTGACAAGCAGCCTCATATGACGAGCACCCTTCAGGCAGACATTTTTCCTAGGAAAATGGAAATATTGATTGAACATGAAGCCTTGTTGTGCCCATTTATTTCACACTGCTTTACAATGGACACAACATTGCGCTCGGACTTGTCATTGCACTGTTGATTGTAGGGCCAAGTCAATCGTCAACCCGTTGTATCGCCATTTTGGAGCAAAGAGAAGAAGATGGTGCTGCAGTGTTATTAGAAAGCTAGTTCTCCTAAAGAGTATATTTTACAATGCCTTTGGCGACGTGGACTCTAACAAATGCCTACCTACCGGTGTGGCGCACACACCCAATGGCTTTCTGGGCTATAGAAGCCAATGCTGCCAATCATTTTACAATCTTTTTTGTAGTTTTGTACCAGCAAGGCCTTTTACTCTGATGACAGTAATACTGACTAATTACACTCATTTATCTGCATTGATTGTGAATCAGATTTATGGTTTGATTGTGCCGCAACAACTAATAAATTGATTTCTTAAGCCCGTGTGTGGTGTCAGCAGATGTAAGAAAGTGTGAATTGTGTATTTCATGTTACTGAGAAGAGACATGGCTGAGCAGTCCTCTATGAAGTGGCTTATCACATGGAATATATTCTTAAAGACAATTCTACTGTTGTATTGTTATAATAAAAATTGAAGTACTTAATTTATGACTCCCGCTGCCTTAACATGACTTAAGTATTAAACGACGAGGGTTATTCACAAAAGGGTGAAGAGTTTGGAGAAGTGAACAATCTAGGACAACATAGCTGAACTGGAAACATTCTCCAATTCAGCTCACTTTCCAGTTCAGCTATGTTGTCCTGGATTGTTCACTTCTCCAAACTCTTCACCCCTTTAGTGAATGACCCTGTCAGATTAGGAAATAGAAAATAAACTCAATTAACACAGCACTTTAATCCGTAAGGCCCCTTTCATACAGGAGCCATCCATTCATATCAGCAGGGAGCAGAAGTCACACTTGTGACATCCTTGTCTACCCAAGCTAAGCTGTACCGACCAATGTTAGGTCTATGGGGCGTCGGATGTAAGTGGTCATGTGACCGTGTACATCAAATCCCTCACCAATATGAAACTTTTTCTAGTCTTTCTTCTGGACCTAGATGGAGTTGGGGGTAATCGGATGTACATGGACACATGTCTGTTTATATCTGGCTGCCCATGGACTTACATTAGGCTTCTGATCAGATTTGCCTCAAAAACTGACAGGTGGATCTGATCAAACCGCCTGTGTGAAGGGGCCTTAGGCTGGGCACACACCTTACAACCATCGCAAGACTTTTGTCTTGCGATGGTTGTAAGGTACTTGAAAAAAACATACGATCTGCCTATCTTGCATAGGCAGATCGTACTTGCGATGATCGCAAGCCACGCCCCCTGGGGGGATGACCGCAATGCTGAACGGGCAGTGTGCGCTTGCCGGCCCGTAAGGCTTTTATCGTACGAACATGCCACAAACCCGCCGAACATCGTACGATGCTCGGCGGGTTTTCGAACATGTCCGTAAGTCAGAAGTCATGCGACCTTACAGTAGTAGAGGTCGCACGGCTTCCACACACCTTACGATAATCGTACGATCGCGGGATTTCCCACGATTATCGCAAGGTGTGTGGGGACCTTTAGGGTAAAGATAGTAGTCACCAGCACTCACTTGTAATGTGCAAAAAGTTTGGGCCTTTTTTTTTCACTCTTAAAATTCAATTTCGGTGCATCCCTAATATGATCTATAACACTTATTTCTGAATAAGGTGAACAGCACACACAAATATAACAGCCAGTTCCCAGATTTCAGCTGTCAATTTTCTAGCGCAGGCAAGAAACAGTAGCAGAAAAATGGTATGATTGCCATGATGGCGCTTTTAATTTCCTTTAATAATTTGGCAAAAACTGGGAAGCTCTAAACAAAAAGCATTTTAATCATTTGAATGAACAAAACATTCCAAAACTTCAGCACACATAATACTCCTATCAGAAAAATAGTTCACATCTCCATCTCCGCCAAGTTCAGTCACTTATTTGCCTTTCTTAAATTTCCCCGATGGGGTGCCTCCCGTTTTTGCCTTTTTTTTGGCTGAGCCTTTAACATCAATCTCTTTCCTTTTGGTGGAGCTGATGGATCCAGTCACCTTGAAGAAGTCATCTAAACGGCCTTGAGTACTGCCATGGCGGTTCTTGGACAGCTTCTTGGCACCATTACGGATACGGTCCTCATTGAACTGCTTTTCGCCGCACATAAAGGCCACCAGGCTGTCCTCATCTGGGTCCTGCCACTTCAGCTCTATACCATTTATGTCAACCACATCAGGCTCTAAGAATAGCTGGCGAGCTTCCTTGTATAACCAGTTTTCTGGAACGGGGTACTTCTTCAGGTCTATGTTATCCAAGACCTCTTCGATGCTCCTGTGCTGCTTTATCAGTTCTATCGCTCTCTTTGGGCCGATGCCTCTGATGGTCTCGCAGTAATCGCAGCCTAACAATATACAGAGATCTATAAACTGCTCTTGGGTGATACCTATATCCTCTAGGGCACGAGTGAGGTGAAATTCCTGGATAGGTAACTTTTTGGCCTCGCTAGTTGTGAGATGACGAAGCAAGAGAGGAGTACCAAATGTCAACGCGTCCATATCTTCAGTTGCAGCTGCATACACCTTTCCAGCTTTTACCAAAGCAGCACATGTGGCTTCTGCCTCACATGGGGCATCCACATATGGAATCCCCATCAGGGATAGCAGCTTCTTGCATTCCTCATTATGCTGCTTTGTGACCTTCACGAGTCTCTTATTAAACTTTTCAATGTTCTCTACCTCTCCTGCCTCTTGGGCAGCTTCCAGCTGCTTCTCAGCCTCGGCCCGCCTTTCGGTACGCTTGGCCAGCTCACCTGACTTCAGCTGAGGAGGCTTCCCATCAAACACATACACTGGCTTGATGCCGTTCTCGACCATGCGAATTGTACGATAGAACATGCCCATTAGGTGGCTGGTGGTTTCACCTTCCTCGTTCTGGAGCACATTCCCATCCTGACGCACAGCGATGAGGAACTGGTAGATGCACATAGAGGCGTCAATGGCCACTTTACGCCCAAAGTAACTTTTGATGTCATTTTCTTTTATGGCTCCGCGGGCCACATCAGCAATCAGTTTGGTAAGACCTTGAATTCCCATTGTGCAGCCGGAAAACGTATCAATGAACAACCTGAACAGATGAAGAAGCACATCTGTGAGATTCCTGCAGACATAGATACATGTTCAGCTTGTCCATATACACAATATATACAATGACACTTCCAGTCATTTCAAAACAAGAGCAATAAAAAGTTACATTACTCATAATAATTCGCCATTTTAGACCTGGGGTCTCAAACTCAATTCACTCGGGGGCCACTTGACAGTTTTTTTCTCCCATGGGGGCCGCTTGCCAAATATCATACTTCAAAATGAAAGTTATCTATATCCGTTTTGGTACTACGGACACCAACACACAATAAGGCCCTATTCATATCTGTATGTTTCGGTGCCATTAGGGATTCCTGCGTTAGGAACTTGCATTTTCCTGCTGCAGGAATCCCTAATCTGGTGTGAAGCAGCTGCATGTAAATGCAGGCACACCGCATGTAATGGTATGCAATATGGTTACATGCGGTTAGGAATCAATCACTCTCCCTGGATGCGATTGTGCATGTAATATCACATACCATCACATGCGGTGTGCCGGCGCTTAGGCCTTGTTCACACCAAATGCAGAGCAGATCCGGTCAGGTTTCTGCACACGCAGTGCAGTGGGTTGTGCCGCGTTTTTGATGCGTTCCGGGCCGTTTTTGGTTAAAAAAAAAAAAATTTAAGTTTAACATGGGCTTTCAGGCACTTGCATGCATTTTGCATGCGTTCCAGAGCAGATAAAATAGGGCTTGCCGCAGTTTTTTCACCTGCTCCGGATCTGCACGCTGCGATATGAACTGGAGCTCAAAATACCATAGGAATACATTGGACGCAGTTTTGATCCGGTCTGCACCTGCTCTGCTCTGGATCTGCTCCGCGCTTGGTGTGAACAAGCCCTTACTTGCAGTGGCTGTCACCTGACCATTAACTTGAATAGGTGACAGTTACAGTTTGTAAACGCCAGATTAGGGATTCCTGCTGCAGAAAAATGCAGGTTCCCCCCCATACACATAAAAAAAAAAGAAGAAAGACTACCCCATCACATATAAAATAATACATTTGCCCCCACCCTTACATGTACAAAAATACTACCCCTGGACATATAATACACCCCCCACATATAAAATATACAAATACAGAGCCCCCTCTCCTGCTTACCTTTTTGCAGGGAGGCGCGATCCCTGGTGATCTAGTGGTGATTAAGGATGGGCTCGGGCGTGTTCGCAGCTCCACGTGCTGGGCCCACCAGGAAGCTGACCGCGCCAATAACAGGCACTGAGACATATCCTGATCTAGGGCTGCAGCTAACGATTATTTTCATAATCGATTAGTTAGCCGATTATCAGGTTCGGTTAATCAGATTTAAAAAAAAAAGCTCCAGTGATGGACTACTAGTTTCTATTGAGATTGTAGTCCATCACGGGAGCAAGCTTGGCACGGTGGAAGTAAAAAAAAAAAAAAAGTGTGGTGTGCAAACGGCTTAACCGACGTGTGTGTGGCGTGAGCGGGAAATGAATTTTAGCCGACGAATCGACAATGGAAAACGTTGACAACGTTTTCCATCGTGGATTTTAATGCAATAATTGTTGCAGCTCTAGTGAACAGGTGCCAGCCCTTTCCTATGTGAACAGGGAGGAAAGTGCTAACCACATGAGCAAAATGGAACATCATTCAAGTTGCACTGGTATGTATTGAGGGCAGGCAAGGATCAGCTTATTTTCATAGTGAGCACTTTTCAATGTATTCAGAATCTCTCAAGGAAACCTCTTATTATTGAAAAGGGCCCTCCCTTAATAAGAGAGTTCCTTGAGAGATTCTGACTACATTGAAAAGTGCTCACTATTAAAATAAGCTGATGTCATTATATTCAGATCACTACAGTTGCATTTCTAGTGTAGTCCACTCATTTTTAATCGACTAAATCGATTAACTGTTGCAGCTCTATCCCGATCTCTGCAGCTGCGGACTGGGATAATGTCTCAGTACCTGTGATTGGCGCGGTCAGCTTCCTGGCGGGCTTGGCACGTGGAGCTGCGAACACGCCCGAGCCCATCCTTAGTGGTGATTAGTGAGGTCTGCTGCAGACTTTACCAATCCATTCTTTCGGTCGGAGCTCAGAACTGAAAGGATACGAGTTCCAGCGGTGAAAGGAACGGTCTGCATCCGACAGAGATGCAGGCCACATAGCTGATCCCGCAAGTCAGGTACATGTTAAGATTTGAAAATGAAAGAGAGAAGCTGATTGGTTGCCGTGGGCAACTGCTCCAGATTCTGCCTGCTCCAGTATTGATAAATCTCCCCCATTGTATTCTCCTCACAGATACTCTGTAACACACTGATCAGGCTTGCAGCTCCACAACATAGTGAGCTGAAAGCCGAATGAGTGGTTGTAACAGCACTGTGATTGGCTATCGCATCGATCACAGTGCTGGGACCCCCCAGATTTGCTGTTGAGGGTCTGCCTCAGACACCGAGGGACCCAACAACAGCGCAAAGCCCATGAGCACTGGTCCTGCCACAAACCGGCGCACATTTTCCCCGCATGACGGAATGATTCTGTCCTCGGGCCTTAAGTATTTGAAAGATTTAAACGGAACAATTCCATCATTGGTCAGGAAGGGATTAACCCTCGCTCCTCTAATCTCCAGTGCGACAGCCGTGACATCACTACATAAGATAAAGTACCAGCAGTCCCTTATTATAAGTAGAGCTGCAACAGTTAATCGATTTAGTCGATTAAAATCGACGATTGAAAGCGCTATTACTTACCTTATCCCTGGCTCCCCCAGACCTCTCCTCTTCAACCTGATGCTCCGAGTTGTGGGCGGGCCCTCAGTGACATCACTTACAATGAAGGACTAATGGTTCTTTATTGGATGTGATGACATCACGACTGTGACCACCAACCAAAGCAGGAATGAGAATACGCTGTGGGGGATGGGTGGCAGAACAGAGGAGCTTGCAGGAGGAAGGAATTAGAGTAGTTTGGGTGCTTTTACCCCCCCCCCCCCCAAAAAAAAAGAGCATTTAACCCTTGCAGCACAGCTGGGCCCCACTGCAAGGATATTATATTCACTTTCTGCTTTGGGAGCCTCCTGTTTGCACACATAATTGTATCCCATCACATGACTACATGTCCTCAGAGACACAGGCTGTCCACTCCAAGCAAATCACAAGCACAGCAGTAACTGAATGCTAGTAACACATCTGCCATCCCGGGTGACAACGTCCCCACAAAATTCTATAGCGGCCCACAGTGACAACTACAGGAACCCAAAGCAGCCAGATCAGAAATGGACTCTGTTCGGTTGCTATGGGGTGACCGCACTGTACGCTGCTTTACCGAATAAGTTTATAAAACGAACCCGTGCGAACTCACCACACTCAACTCCCGCCACAAGATTTTCGCGCGTACACGTGACATCACTCTCTGCTCTAGCAGCGCGCTAGGATGCAGTAAGAACACCGATTGGCTGACTTTGTCAGATTCGTTTTGTGATTGGCCGACCGCTGAACTCCAGTCGCGAGAAGACATTCCGGAAACGCCGCCATGCTGTGGCTGGAAAGGGACGTATGGGAGCCGCGCCCTGATTGGACGAGGTTTGGTGACTGGTATCCATAGCTCCACACCCCCTAGTACTCATGCGCACAATTGTATTCCGCTCCCAGGATTCCGTGTGGTGACCTCTGACCCCGTTTTGATTGTGAGAGACGTGGCTATACCGTGAGAGGTGTCACCGGGAAGATGGTGAGGAACGGTGTTGGTGGGGGTGCCTGGCGTTCTATTTGTGTCCCATCACCCTCCAGGGTGTGTGGAGGGCTGAGCTGAAGGAGTTCGTGTATTTTTTGGGGGCATTTGTGACCCCTCACCAGCTCATATTATGGTATAGGGAGCCCCGACTCCCCACCTGTGGGGGGATAACACACTCGAGTAGCTGTAATTTTAGGGGACCCTGTGCTCATCCTAAACTAGAACTGTACCCCCTGAAATCCCAGCCTGCCATATTTACAGTGACTCTGCCATGAGAGAGGCATTGGGGCTGCCATTACTTGCCTCCTTGAAAACAATGCTTGTTGCCTGGCTGTGTCTGCCATTCAGGGCCATTTCACACTGTAGTGTTGTGTTAATTGTACAGTTTCGTGTACTACAACATAAAGCACCTACCATGCGTTATAGTGTGGGAGGTGCATTGTACTGCCATTCATTTCGATGGCAGCCATAATGCACTTGACCATGCTGCAATGCATTGTGATGTGTTGCGATTAAAAAAAAAAAAATGAAGTGCATGCCCTATTTTTTTTTTTTTTACTTTTTTTTTTTTAGCCGTGCCGCGATGCGATACCACACATTGTAGCCGGAGGTGCGTTTGGGGTACTGTTTAAATGAATGGCACCACAATGCATTGCTTGCACTATAATGCATGGTTGGTTAAATGTGCAGTAGTATGTGTTCATCGCACGGAAGTGTGCGATTAACGCAGCGCCTTGGTGTGAATCCACGAAAAGAAAAACCTTGCCGCACTCCTTACCGGGACTCCCATAGTATGCAGACGGGTGCTCGAAATGACTACGGATGGCGCCACCACATGTAGATAGTTTAGAGGATGTCACCAGCACACCACAAGATAATAATCAGCAAGTGTTAATTTATTGACAATCGCTGTCTCTCATTGGCAAGCGCTTTCGGGGCCACACAGGGTCCCCTTCATCAGGCTCCGAGATGGTGTGAATCCAGCCGAACACATTTTGAGTCACGGATCCAGGTTCAGTGTTCTGAGAATTTCTCTCTGTACTCGTTCCAGGACAGTCACTCAGCCTTTGTATCAGTATGATGGCCAGGGAACTGGCATTTTCAGAAGCAATGCCTGCCTCCATGATTGTAATCTCATGGCTAGTTTCCTGTAAAGTGCACCTTAGTGCACCTTAAAGGGTTAATTTCCCTCTACAGTAAAATTGCCCGTGCATTCCAGCGCCCCTAATCCTCCCAGGCAGAATGGGGGCTAGAGGGAACGCCTACTCTTGGAGTTTTTTGTTTTTTTTGTTTTTTTTTGGAGGGGCAGTGCAGGTGTGACCTCCAAAAAGAAGAATCCTTTCCGAAATCAGAGCAATGTGAAAACCGGTGTCAGTTTTTTGTTTTTTTCCCCCCCTCCATCTGTGTGTCTTTAGGGAAATCCATTCGCTTTCTGTCCTGCAGACTCAACAGGAAGTGAGTGAGGGAAATTCCCTGTTGGACAGTTGTCACAAGTGTGCCCATTGGAAGATTCCTTCTGTATTGCTCTTGTGGCAATTTTTGGTGACAGACAGCAGTAAAAACAGGACCCCTCACCACTCTATCCAAATGTAAGAATAAGAGCTTTGCCTTTTTATAAAACAGATTTATGTCCCCTGCGCCATGCTGCTGCATCTGTTACAAGGATCCCCCGTACAGCTCTGGAGTGATTGTCAGTTGCTGTAGGCTCCATTTGAGTCTAACAGGCCACCTTCACTGCCACTTATTTTGGTTCTGTGTGAGTCACAGAGGATTGGCGGCTCCCGGGCAGCAGAGTCACAGAGGATTGGCGGCTCCCGGGCAGCAGAGTCACAGAGGCATTTTTTCTATTTTGGAATTTCCATTCAGTTTTTTACTCGTCTGTAACCTATTGGAGGGATTTTCCTTAGCTCCCTGTCCTTGGGACACCAGGAGAAAATTTGGAGGGGGTCAGACACCTGGACAGGCAGCAATTAAAGCCCCCCCCCCCCAAAAAAAAACAACATTGTCCAAAGTTCTAATGTGTCCTTATTGAAGAAATTGTCCCTCATTTCCTGTCATGACAGGAAGTGAGGGGCAATTTCCCAAACAGGGAATGTTACATAAATCCCACTGAGTCTAATCCTTCCCGGCTCGATCAAAAGCAGAAGGAAAAGTTTTGACAGGTTGGACTTTGATAAATGTTCTTGTTTCATGAATTTCACTTATGTGTTTAATGATTTGCTGTAATTATATATTTTTTCACCCTTTCTATTCTCAGGAGTTGGAAGCAATGAGCCGATATACAAGTCCGGTGAATCCGGCGGTGTTCCCGCACCTCACCGTTGTCCTCATGGCAATTGGGATGTTTTTCACAGCTTGGTTCTTTGTGTATCCTTGCGATCTGACCATGTTTTACCCTAAATATGCCATCACTCTTATGTTTCTGTGTTGATGATTAGTTCTGGTAGGTGAGTGATAGCGATGGACTGATGTGGGTAGCGGTAAATCCAGATGCATTCTAGGTAATATGCGTATTCTTTGCTGGAGCTCAGTTTATAGTAGCAGTCAGGACCCGATTCTGGGTCAAGGCTGCTGATCATGATAATCCAATCGTACAGCCGATGAGCAAATTCTGTGTGTTTCAAAGTGACTAGTACAAACTTCTGTCTCATCTGTAATTCTTTTAAACTCATTATTTGTTAGGAACTAACATTTCCTAACAAATTGTGTCTGCTTAGAGTACAGTGGGAGGAGAAAATGTTGTTGGGGGCATATTGGCATTTTCACTGCTGATTCATAGGCCTGTATCTGGTCTATCAGTACCTGGCCACACCTAGTCCTGCCCGCTGATTTCTGGATTGACAGAACTGCTTCTGTTGCTGAAGATACAGTACCAAAATCTATCAGTTTGATGATTAGTGATGGACTCTGCTGGAGAATATAAGTAAATGAGTGGGCGTGCATGTTTTGTTTTGTTTTTTTTGGGGGGGTTTTTCAGCATATAAATCTTTATTACGTTTTTCACAACCAATAATGGTGCAATTTATATACGATGAATAGCAACCGCATACATGGCATAATGCATTGAGGAGATGCCAGCAATAACTACCGGTAATACAAAGACCACTGACAGTGCAGAACCGGGGATGACATTAGATCCGGCATTTATGCATGGATAAAACACATCATGTAATGCAGCAATACTTGGAAGAGATTATAACTGGTATTAGGCATAAGAAGAAGGAAAGGTGTGGAAGAATGAGAAAAGGTATGAGCAGGGGAAGCAAGAGAGCATAGAGGAGAAAGAAGGAAAGAGGGTGTGTGATCATAAGTATAATCCAGTAGGGATACTTTCTCTTTTGAGAGAACCTGCATTGCATAAATCTAAGTGGCCACTAGGTGTCTCCAGTACTTCTCCAGGGTCTGACAATACAGGAACTTGCTTGTACTTTACTTGAACAACCTGTTACTTGCGTATGAATTTCAAATACCATGATACCAGCGCTTGCTGTACAGAATAGGTACCTGGTACTAGTGTAACGTATAATAATTGTGTTGTACAGTTTAGCTGAAAGTGTATTTACAGATTAAAGTGACTAAACTCAGTCGACTAACCTCGACTGTAGATCCTCAAATCATCTCTGAATTGGTGCTGACACTGTCCTTCCTTCTGGAGGGTGGCTGTGTGTGTTGTAAAGTAGTCACTACTCCAAGCTCACTCCTGTGATGGACTACTATCTAATAACCCCTTAAAGGCAGGGCCCTCCTTACCATCTTGTCTTGGATTGTATTGTGATTGTAATGTCTTCCTTATATTGTAAACGGCGCAAACTGTTGGCGCTATATAAATCCTGTATTATAATAATAATGTTTAGTTTACTAGTTTGTATTATGATTTGTAGTCCATCACGGGAGCAAGCTTGGGGCTGTGGCTACTTTACAACACACAGAGGGACCATGGGGAACAAACATAGCCACCACCCAGAAGGAAGGACAGTGTCAGCACCAATACAGAGATGATTTGAGGATCTTCAGCCGAGTGGTACACAAATAAGATACATTTTTGTTAATAGTTAAGGTACTTGAATGCTTTTTTAAGCTTTTTCCCCTGAGTTTAGTGTCACTTTACTGTGTAAGTACACTTTAAACTAAACTGTACAATTATCTGTTACACTAATACCTGGTACCTATTATGTGCTGATAGCACTGGTGGCATAGTGTTTGAACTGGTTTAGTCACTATGTTGCCTGGAGGAAAGGCCCCTAGAAAAAATTGGCATTTTTTTTTTAACTTATGTGACGTTATTTGCGATAGTTTCTATGCATTTTGAAGTGCTGGTGACCTATGTTCACATCTTTGAGATTCTGCACAGCACCATTCATGGCGGTGACTTTGAGCACCAATATTATTACCAGATACTATTCAGTCTGGTTGACTCTCACACTGCACAGTTGTTAGTTGATTTACTTCCTCTTTATTTGAATATCAAAGTCAAATTCCTAGTATTCTGCAGCTTGCTTTTCCCCTGTATTTGTTTTCCTTAATGCATACTTGTAGATATGAAGTGACATCCACAAAATACACTCGAGATGTGTACAAGGAGCTGCTCATCTCACTGGTAGCCTCACTCTTCATGGGATTTGGGGTCTTGTTTCTTCTTTTGTGGGTTGGAATCTACGTGTGACCACTGGGGTAAGAAGAGTTTTATATAATGTACAAAACCGCATTTGATTACATGACTTTAACATTGCAGTGCTTTAATAAGAATGTACATGAGTCAGTTTCTGAAATAGATCATGGGCAAAAAAAAATCCATTAATATGTTTATCATCGCTGTTTATTCTCCTTGGTCTTGCAGTTCCTGAAAATCATTGTGTGGGACTATATGTTGTAGGGTACATGTTAGGATGGATACAGGGGGCTGCCAGTTCTGACTTGATTTTGATGTTTTAGGCTTCAGGACTGTCATCTTCATCCTTGCTTCATTACTTGGTGATACACTGATCTGGAACAAGCCTGCAGGTCAGCTGTCCTGGCACTTCTCTGTCCGATTGGTTAGTGTGTTAGTAGTGATAACAATGAGAGTCCTTGGAGCTCCCATATTTCTGTATTGACAAATTGGCTTTTAAAAGCATACCTGTACCTATAGTAACATTCCCCGCTCCACCACCACCACCTTCATCCTGACCCAGTATACTAAAAGATGGACTAAATATTGAACATTTTACTGTAAACACTACTGTTTAGTCCTTCACTACTGATTGTGTTACTGAACTTAAAGTGGACCTTTACCCCCTTTCACTAAAAAACACAGTATGCAGCTCTGCATTCTGATATGAAATCATCTTACATTAATTAGTTAAACATATTTTCTTTTACTTACAATTATTGTTTTCCCACTTCCTGGTCCTCTTGAGCATTAGTGATGCCTCTTGGAATTATTAATGTACCTAAGCGTTGCATCCTGGGAAGGTTACATCAGCAGAGCATTGCTGGGAAATCCCATCTGTAATCTCACGAGATCTCAGGGAAAGGCATTTTCCTCCCCTGAGATGATGTGCATGGTCACATGTCCTAGTCACATGTGCCTGAGTTCCAGGAAGTAAAGGTTGATATATTAACCTGCCCTTATTAAAAATGGCGACTGTTAGACTGGGGAAGAAAAGAAAAATAAGGTATGCAAAGAATAAAAAGCCGGCAATGATCTTGACGTATGTCTGTCTGTAGATTGTCATTTCTAAAGGTGTATTTGTTGTCATTTCAAAGATATGAGTAAAGTTCCTCTTTAAGTTGTCACGTAATCTATGTAGTAGGAACCTGAGTTCAAACCAGTCAGCAGCCCTGCCTGAACGCCCCCATTAACTGAGATCACATGACCTGTGCACTGGTATTTGGCAACATAGTTGGCACCAGTGTAGGAAAAGTAAGGATTTATGCTATTTTTTGACTATTTGTTATAGTGGGACCGAATTTGTGAGATGTGATAAGGGGCGTTCATGAAAAAATAAACAGCTGGTGCACTCTTAAAGGATGTGTAGACTAAGTGTAAAAATACTTTTAGGTGGTTGCTAAATCCCTTTTTTTTTTTTTACCTGCCCAATTGGCACAGTGGTGGCATCCATTAATATTGCATGGGCATGTAGTTTTTAGAAGAGGATGGAGGCGGGGGGTGGGATCTGTGTGAGGCTGGCACAAAATGTACTTTGTGCCATTCTTGCACCGAACCCGCACCTACCCCTTGTGTTGGTACAGGAACATCGGAGGATGCTAACACTGCCACTCCAGCACACACTGGGCATTTGGGGATTCCTTAATATTTGACCGTGTGGATCTTTTACATTTCAAAGGAACAAGTTCTATTTAAAGTCTGGTAGCAGCCTCCCTGCATTTTGCAGTCACATTTTATTATCTTTGGCAATGAATCTGTTGCTTTGATTTCTACTGGACACTGATATCACACACCCCTGATAGACCTCCAGAGGAATAAATGCTTTTTCTAAATCAAAGCGAGCTGTACGATCAAATAGCTGGAATCTGTGGTGTTTGTAGACACATTTGATGAGTGGTTCAACACTGTGACTTTAATTTACATTGGTCGTTTTTTTGTTGGCTAAGCCTTTCAGTGGATAAAGCCAATCGATTTAAAGGAGAAGTATTGGGAGAGTAAAATCTATTATTTCCAATACTTGGAGCCGGTGAAGGACACTGCAGCTGTCACACGCCAGCTCTATAGAGCCAGAGCTGACTGATCACAAACAGCTAATCACTCAGCTCACAGTCTTCTTCTCCCTGCAGGGAACAGTCACTGTCAGTCACTACTCCCCTGCATTCCTCCAGTGCTCATTGGAGGAAAAGACCGGGAACGGAAGGGCACAGTTGGCTTTGACTATAGAGATGCAGAGCCGGCTGTCAATCGGGCTGTGAGGCGAATCCTGACAATATTGTCAGGATCCTTCCCAGCTGCAAGAGTGGGTAGTAGCTGGCAATATGCTGACTCTGGGTCCAGGAGGACATTAGTGAATGTGTTCTGTGACCCAAAAGAGAACTAATGCCAAAAAAAACATTTGTCCTCAGTTCCCTTTTAATAATGTGATGTCATATGTATGATAGCAGGGCCAACCATTATAAACTAACCGCTCTCAGGCACCACTGCTTCCCTTCAAACCCATGAATATGGTGAATGTAGATGTAAATGGGGAGAGCAGGTGAAGGAGGTAGGCAAGACCAACAGAATCTGCATTATCGCTTATCTTTGGGGACAATCGTGATGGAAGTTCTCTCGCCTGCCCTTATAAAGTTGGACTCTAGGCAGATATAAATGGACAAGCGCTGTAATCATTTGTTACATCATTAAATATATTTGATAAATTAACACAATTTATCTGAAATTGGTCTGGTATCCGCCTCCTTGAGGTCTTCTGTACAGCAAGGCTCAGACAAGGGGAGGGACAAGAAACCAACTGGGTGTATTGAATTCTGATAGGAGAAGAGAGCAGAGAGATGAGCAAATCACTGTGCTGCTTCTCCTTTCACTGTCACGGGGTGGGAAGGTGACCTGTAAGTGGAACTGCAACAGAGAATGCCTTTCCCTACCAGGCAGGACTATGATGCGTGGTAGAGCTGTGTAAATCTCGCAACTGGATAGACAGACATGTGTACTTCATATGTATATATAAATGTTTCCCTAGAGTTCATCTTTACCCATTAAAAGCCGTACATATGGACTTCAGCTTGTATGATAGAGGTGTATAAAGCAGGTTTTACAGCATGGTAAAGCTTTTAGCAGTTTTGTTGGATCATTCCAAGCTCCATTCAGCTCCATTCAGCTCCACCCGGGGACATAGAACACAGATCTTAATGGCAGTACTTACTGTCTCTTTAAGAGGCAGCTAGCAGGCTTCCGCAGGTTTCCCCAGTACTAGAAATCCGCTGAACGCTTGCTGAAGCCTGCTAGCTGCTTGTTTAACTTCTTCGTGACCATAATATGACTTTGTCAGAATGTAAAATGCTCTTTGCTGCGAGAGTGTTAACTAGCTTTGCAGCAGAGAACTAGGAATGTGCAACTGTGTTTGTTTGTTCCTAGGTTTCAGACACGCTGTCAGTCAGAAAGATTAGTCCTGGAGTTTATCAAGTAAACCTCAGTATACCAATGCTGCTGAACTTGGTCTATGCTTCTGGGAAACTCTGGTCATAAGTGTTAAAGTCAGAACTTTCAAGGCAAGGCATACCTGTCATAGAAGACTATTGATACTCACTCTCCTGCTGCCCGTGCTGCTGAATGCTCTCTGAGCCTAAGACATTGTCCTCTGCAGCTCTTTGGTTCCTCCTCCTGACCACCATGTCACCACTGTCCTCTGTAGTGATATGGAGGTCAGCAAAAGGAGCCAGAAAGAGCTGAAGGGGACCCAGGAGATTGACACTTCCAGAAGCATCAGTTTACCAGCAGACTTCGAGGTTGGATTTCTTAGTATTGGGGTGGCAGCTCAGGCAGTAGTATCTACAGTCTTCTTTTACAGGTCTTGGCTTAAACATTTTAGTATAGGGGAAGAATTGCTTTGAGAACTGTTTTTATTATTCCCATACTGGCATTTGCTTTAACTGTTTTACCAAAGCTGCTTGATGCTATATACGGTGCACATTTCTCTCTCTCATATTGAATCCTGAATCTACAAGGCCTTGTGTCTTCCGAAGTCTCTGTCCTGTATGTACAAGGCCTTGTGTCTTCAGACGTCTCTGTCCTGTATGTACAAGGCCTTGTGTCTTCAGACGTCTCTGTCCTGTATATGCAAGGCCTTGTGTCTTCAGAAGTCTCTGTACTGTATGTGTAAGGCCTTGTGTCTTCAGAAGTCTCTGTCCTGTATGTGCAAGGCCTTGTGTCTTCAGACGTCTCTGTCCTGTATGTGCAAGGCCTTGTGTCTTCAGAAGTCTCTGTCCTGTATGTGCAAGGCCTTGTGTCTTCAGAAGTCTCTGTCCTGTATGTGCAAGGCCTTGTGTCTTCAGAAGTCTCTGTCCTGTATGTGCAAGGCCTTGTGTCTTCAGAAGTCTCTGTACTGTATGTGTAAGGCCTTGTGTCTTCAGAAGTCTCTGTCCTGTATGTGCAAGGCCTTGTGTCTTCAGACGTCTCTGTCCTGTATGTGCAAGGCCTTGTGTCTTCAGACGTCTCTGTCCTGTATATGCAAGGCCTTGTGTCTTCAGAAGTCTCTGTACTGTATGTGTAAGGCCTTGTGTCTTCAGAAGTCTCTGTCCTGTATGTGCAAGGCCTTGTGTCTTCAGACGTCTCTGTCCTGTATGTGCAAGGCCTTGTGTCTTCAGAAGTCTCTGTCCGGTATGTGCAAGGCCTTGTGTCTTCAGAAGTCTCTGTCCTGTATGTGCAAGGCCTTGTGTCTTCAGAAGTCTCTGTCCTGTATGTGAAAGGCCTTGTGTCTTCAGAAGTCTCTGTCCTCCTATTTAGAAGGCCTTATGTCTTCAGATGACTGTTTTCTAAAAGCTACAAAATGAGGACAACCCCCCCCCCAAATTTATTGTATGGGGTCTATTCGCCCTTTGAGCGTTCGTTCTGTGTGTATAGAGGCAAAAATGAACATTCTTGGTGCACTGCCCGGGGAAAAAAAAGTTGCACGCTAATATTTTTTGTTGGACCGCCTTTAGCTCTGATTACGGCACACAATTGCCGTGGCATCATTTTCGATAAGCTTATGCAATGTCACAATATTTATTTCCACCCAGAGTTGCATTCATTTTTCACCAAGATCTTGTAGTGATGATGGGAGAGTCAGACCACTGCGTAAAGTCTTCTCCAGCACATCCCAAAGACTTTCAATGGGGTTCAGGTCTGGACTCTGTGGTGACCAATCCATGAGTGAAAATGATGCCTCACGCTCCCTTTACCACTCTTTCACAATCTGAGCCCAATGAATCCTGGCATTGCCATCTTAGAATATGCCCAATGTGCCATCAGGGAATAAAAAAAATCCATTGATGGAAAAACCAGGTCATTCAGTATATTGTAGCTATATCAGTATATCTTGTCAGAAGAAACAATCACTGCAGTAATTATCCAATGGAAGGCTCTGACCTTTTTGCTTACCGAAATCCAGATGGTGACTTATTTTGGGGCCAGGCAGTTTTTCTTTTCAGGTTGATTGTAATGTAATACCACATTATGGCCACTAGATGGAGTGGAGGAGCATAGGATATACTTATTTGCTTTGTTCTCCACCTCCATCTAGTGGCCATATTGTTGTATTGCATTACATTCAACTTAAAAAGAAAATATATGGAGTTTTTTTTTTTAGTTTACACAGAACTAACGTTTAGAAATTCACAGGGTAAATGGCTCTGCAAATTGTTAATAAATGGAACCCTTAGTCATATATTTCACCAAAAATTAGAAGAATAAATACTATCTGCCTGATTTTGTATCAACAACTAACAAAATCTTTTATTTCTTTCTTTTCAGGTCCCTGTCGGAGGGGTGATATGTTTCTTTTTTTACTGCCGAGAGTTCGGGGACCAGTACTGTCCAAGAATATTGGTGTCATTGCACTGTCACGTCTATCAGAGATTTTTTTTTTCACATAGTGAACTGCTCAACAATCACAATAAAACACTTTATTGTTACAGATGCCGTATAATTTGTATTTCTGTCTTTTTTTTTTTCTCTCTACAGATGCACAACACCAGTCTGAGTACAAAGGATTATTTATATATTTATATTGTGGGTATTCATATGCAGACAGGATTTATCAGACCCAGATAACAGGGTACGGGTAAGGGTAGAGCAGTGCAGTTGTAGCAAGGAAATATAAATACAAAAATCTGAAATTAAAAAAAAAAAAAACATATTAAAAATGCTTTGAGCTCACCGGTCCAGAATAAGGCAATTTAACCCTTTCCGTACTCTAGGACTGGACCCAGTATGTAATGAAAAGGGTTAAAGTCATGCAAGGGCGATTTTAGTGTATCTCAATTACTGTAGGAAATACTTATTTACAAGATTTTAACATTAAGAGCAGAAATCCAGAAAGACATCGTCAGCGGTCCAGTATTTTGGTCCTTTTTTTAAAGTCATCAATTTAATTTTTTTTTTTTGTTTGTTTTTTCTCTTGCATGGCATCGGCACACCAAGCGCTCACAGAGTCTTTGGGGTGTTGCCTCGCTTTCAGGCACTTTTGGTTGCCCCTTTTCTACAGGGCTAGATTTTGGTCCTTACTGCCAAGTTGAGAATAAGTGCACTTTTCTGGTTAGAGAATTAAATACAAAACACGAGACAGAAAAAAAAAACAAACCATAAAATACAACAAAACACAAAAACTGTTCAAATATTTCAGTAACTCGAAATAGCTTCTCCAACCCTTTAGCTGCAGCATCTTATCAGTTCAGATTGCTTGTCGACAGATCTGCAATGGGGTTTCTTGAAAGTAGAAGATGGTTCTTTCCTGGTAACTGATTGATTGAGGGGGGAGAGTCAGGAATAAGTAGAAGGGTTGTAACAGAATCACAATATTAAACACATAGAAAAAAAAAAACAAATCATGAACTGGGGGAGAAGCTACACCCATTCTCAGCCATTCATTCCCCTCTTTTGGACTAGGGAAATCCCATGTCTTGTTTGGGGTAGGGTTCCCTGTGTCTCCAGTGTGAATGATCTCTCGGTTTTCCAGTTGGTCCCAGAAGGTTCCAGTGCTGCTTGGTTTGGTCCAGTGTTGTACATCCAGTGACGGGTGGGGCTGACCCCGTGGCTGCCTGCAGTCTGTGGGGCAAGAGACGCATCTTCTGTGTACAAGGAGGAAGGTTATATATGGGTTGTCCAGCTCTTCAGCAAGTGTATCAGTCGCAGAGTCGGTAGAAATTGAAGTAATAGTCTGTAACTTGTGAAATATCCACTATAAAGTCATAGCATCCGGATGCCCCCTAGAAGAGATACATTTGGGAACAGTTAGAAGGGGGATCTGTGCTAAAACAATAGGGAAGCAGAATTGCATGATCTGGGTACAAGAAATAAGGCAGAATTTGTTTAACCACTTACTGTCCCCAGAGTTCCAAATACTGTATGCTGCACTCCACAGGATCATATCCAGAAAATAAAAAGCCTTTAAGGAGAAACAAATATCTTCCCTCCTTGATCCTCAACCTTTTAACACGTTTCACCATTAGGCTCATCATCAGCGTTATGGTGAAATGCGTTTGAGGATTGAGGAGGGGAGATCTGGTCAGTGTTTCTTGCTCCTTAAATAAAGACTTTCATTTCCGGATCTGATTCTGTGGAGTGCGGCATATTAGAAACTGATTGCTTGCAGTGGAGACATGCTTGGTGCCTGCACCTGGGACTTGCATGCAATTAGAAGCTGAATTTGGAATGTGAGCGCTGTTTTGCTTTGCTTTGGATCACTTGCTGTCCCCATTTTACATAAAGGGGCAGGCGGCAGCCCTCCCAGGGTGGAGTGACATTTTAAAATCTCTTTTTTTTTTCTTGATGCTTATGCATGCTGTCCAACGAGCACAATACAGTGATCATACAGTCCATGGGACAGAGGCAATGAGTGGTTCAGGAGCCACGTGAGCAACCAAGTGTCATCCAGTACCATTGCCCAATCACCCCTCTCCTGTATATGTCAGCTCCATTCCGTCTCTGATCTGACCTGCATATTAACCCCTCACCTACCTTACCATGTACACTAACCACTTCACCTCCATCCTCCCACTGTGTGACCTCTATACCTCCCTCTGTGTATCACCTGTATATTGAAGGGGTTGTACTGTCCTGGCATTTTTATTTGATGTATTATATAAAGCAAAGGGATCAACCCTTTTTATTTCATGTCTTTGGCCAGTTTTCTGTTCCTTTTATATTGTAAAAAAAAAAAAATCCTCCTAGTGGTTCCAAAGCTGAACTGCAGGCACACAGCTAAGTACACGGACCTGTGATCCAAGCACCCTAGCACAGTCAAATCTTCTGCAGAAGACCCTGCTGATAAGCAATACGCTTTGGTGTACTGTCTCTTGCAGGAGCAGTAGGATATGGCTTATGTCATCCCACTGCTATTCATACGTGCCCTTTGTCAAACAGCAAAGCCCTAATTGGACCAGAGTGCTGCTCTCCCCTTCCCAGTCTGAGTGCAACTATGTGGGATTACAAAAGGCCAATATCAAGACTTATTAAGGTGATTATGCTAGTGTTGTAGTGTTGAGTACAAATATACTCAGACTGGAAGCACACTTTTGTGCGTTTTTTTAAATTATTCCTAATCTTTACAAATGGAAACACATCAAACAGCATGTTGTGTGTCGTTGCGCATTGATCTGCAATGCAATGTGTTAAAACTTGCGGTAGCACATGTAACACAAGGCTGCACGCGTTAATGTGTGTTTCCATTGATTGCAAATGAAATGCGCCAGCAATACAAAGGCGCCTCAAAATGCAAACTCTGATCATGTTTCACTTACTCAATGCATAAGGCCTAACTGAATACTTTAATACAAAACCAATGGGAACTAAGAGATCTGCAGCACAGAAATATATCTGTCCTATTTTTGTAATAAGGGCACTTGGATGTGACTAGCTTACCGCTGGGGACACCCGCAGGTGGAAGGAGAAGTCCTGGGATGGATACACCTGGAGTGACCATAAATGGAACGGTGATGGAGATGATGGAGCACAAACACCGGAAACCTGGGGAAAGAAAAATTGATCATAAAGTCTTCAAATACATACCGGGAACACACCTACCTGCACAGGGTGTTTCTGGGCCCATTCATGCCAATGCAAAGTGTGTTGAGACACCCTCTGTTAGACAACCCATTCAAAATGAATGACTGCAACGTGTCTGGATTCACAACTTTTACATTTAGGCCATGTGTTGTGGTGCCTTAAAAAAGAGGGGCAACAAATGTAAAGTGGGCAATGTAAATGGACCCTTTCACCCAGGCATTGTCCTGATGCACCAGTCCACCCCAAAACCCCACTAGCTAGAATATGTGGAAACCCTTTTACTTTCCTGTTTTAAATGAAGACTTCTATTCCCGAAAATACCCAACATGGGATCCTTGCTTTCATACACTGTTTGATATATTAAAGTGCTAGGAAGTCTCCCACAGCCACCATGCACACATTGGCAGTTTAAATCTGGTGATACATCAAATAAGTACATTGAATAACACAGACTTCCAAAAGCAGACACAGCTACCCCACACATGAGGAGCTTTTTGGAAGCTGGCTGCAGTAGATTATATAAGACTTAGATTAAAGGAAACCTGTGCTGGAGAAAGATATGGGCTCCTACTGCTGAACTCTTATTCTTAAAATTCCATTTGCCTAGTCGTCCTACTGATCCAATGGCTTCAATGTTCTCTAAGTCACTGCCCCGAAACATGTACACGAATCAGGAGTACCAACTTCACTTTTAGCTTTACTTGCTGCATGATGTTCCAAGCCAGCTACTCCTTTGAGCTACTTCACTTGAACCGACGTTCTAATTTTAGCACAAAGTGTTTACTGGCTAGCATTAGTACATCACAGATAAACAGACTGTAGTATGCATACCCGGGAGCAGCTTTGATCTTCTGAAGCTGATCTGGTTACAGATGTCTCACAGTTCTTACCAGCTGATGATTCACAGAGATTCACTGACACAGGGAATGTGGAGCTAAACAGCAACAAACAAATTAAGTGTAAAAAATGATAGTTCAATGACAGTTGTATTATTAGTACAGCTGTCCTTTAAATATAATACCACCAACCTTAGTGCAGCCTGTCATGTAAAATACTTACCTTCCCCCTAATTCCAGCAATTTTCACTGTGCTGGCCCAGCGCCACACAACCTTTGCTTGAAAAGTGTTCCTGATACCTATGGATGAGCCATACTAGGCTGGACATCTGGTTGCTGCCATGCGTATGGCTCATCCATAGGAATGAATGGAAGTGCAGCACTCATGTGCACTAAGAGGACCTGAAGGAGAGGTTCTCTGAGCGCAAGCTGTGAGCAGGAAGGTAACAGGCAGGAAGGTAGGTATTTTAGAAGGCAGGCTGCACTCAGAGTGGTGGTGGGATTACTAAAGGTACAGGTGCCCTTTAAGGCCACACAATAAAGACTAGAGTTCTGTTGAGCACTTACTTGAGTTCCAGTGTCACACTGCCTGTCAATGAGCTGTACTTGCTGAGAGGGAGTGAATACGAGTAATTGCCTGGACTGCAAAGACAGACAAACCAAGATTATTTGCCTGATTTATATAATGCTGACATATTGTTTACAGCTTTACACAGAACAATAAACCAATCAAATTTGCTGCTGCTAAATGACGTTACAGTCTAATATCCCTACACCAGTGTCATGTGCATCTGCTGGGGCCAGTCTGGGTGCAGATCAATACATCTATTGGTAGGCTATTGAATTGTGGGAGGGGAATAAAGCACCCATAGGAAACCCACGCAAACACAATATCAGTTTTGAAGTTCCCATAGATATTAGATGACTCTTACCCTACACTGACAATATCAGCAGGATCAGGTATCATTGGTAACATCTTTGGAAAACGGCATGTCTCAGCAGACAAGTAAGCTAACAGACCTCATTGAAAGGTCTATTGGCACAAAATCAGAGCGATGACATATGGGTCTACTGTGCACACCATGAGCACCATTATAAATGAATTCAAAGTCTACAACATTATTAAACACCAGACTTTTGTCAAAGGTCTTTATCGAGGTTTTGGGTGAAGAGAATCTGGAGGTCTGAATGCTGCACTTTGTTTAAAGCTCTAATTATACCTTCAGTTTAAATCTGCTATATAAATGAATGGCGCATCAGGACAAATCTTGTGCAAAGTCTTAAGGTGCTCATACACTGGCCGAATTTCGGCCGGTTTTTAATGTATCGGCCGAAATGTGCACAGTGTGTGGGGCTGTCGGCTCCCTTTCAGCCAGCATTCCTCGATCAGTTGATCGAAGGAACCTGCTGGAGAATGTGCAATCAGAGCCGGGGTTCTATCGAAAGCTCCGACTTGTCGAGCTCTCCGACTGGGTACGTCACATCCGGTGACTGCCAGTAGGAGATGTACAGCAGATGCAGCTAGTGCGCAGGGCCTGAAAATCCTTGTCGAACTGTCTAACTATTGCCACGGCTAGCGGCTTATTAGATTCTATAACCTAGTACAAACTTATATTTGTCCTAGGTTATAGAAGTTGATAGCCGCGCAGGCGCAGTGGCAACTGTGGTTGTAGAAAGAATCATGTGGCCACGCAGGCGCTGTAACATAATATAACCTTTGACTAGGTTATAGAATCCCATGAGGCAATAGCCACTGCGCCTGTGCAGCTAACGGCTCATTGGCTTCTATAACCTAGGACAAATATAACTGTAGTAGGTTATAGAAGTGGATAGCCGTGCAGGCGCTATGGCAATAGTTAGACAGTTCGACAAGGATTTTCTGAGCATGCGCACTAGCACCATCTGCTGCAAATCTCCTGGCAGTCAACAGATGTGAAGTCACCAGTTGGAGAGGTCGACAAGTTGGAACTTTCGATAGAACACCGGCAGCATGAGCTGCCTGCTCTGATCGGGTATTCTGACAGGTGCTGTCGGCACCTGCCAGTATAGAATGCAAACAGCGGTCATTCCTCGATCGACACACTGTTTGTGTTGATGGAGGAATCGCGTACATTTTTTTCGTTTCGCCGGCGGGTTGAACGAAAAAAATTGATAGGTGTATGGCCAGCCTTACAGTTTACTTTATTAAGAAAGCAGACACAGCCTGAGTAAAATATCCCATTCCCTACCAGCATGCTGTAGAGATGGGTCCTTGCTCTCTTTGGGGAAGCAGTGGCCTCTCTTGAAGTGGTCCAACCCCCCATCCCCTCCTCCTTTACGCAGAGTCAGAGCTATAACTCTCCAATCAGCAGCATGTGATTTATTGATTGGAGAGCTATAAGTCTGACTCAGCAGGGCTGTGTCAGACCTTTTTGTTGTGATGAACGGTTGGCGGTTACAATACTCTAAACAACTCACCTGCAGGTGCCTTGAGAGGAACACAGCTGATCTGTAAGGAGAGTGTCGGTCTCCACCAGGCGAATAGAAGAAACAACAGCACGGGATTCTGCAAGACAGTGAATAGTCTGTTAGACCCATGAGCACCCATAATCATATGTGCAGTTTCAGCTATATAACTAAAACTGGCTAAATAAATACATTAAGTCACAAATATCAACAATGTAAGAGCTGCCTGTGTTATTTGGGCATGTAATAAATGTATCTCTGGCAAGTTTAGTTATTCTTAACTTTATTCTCATCTTTATATCCTGCTTAGTACATACTACATAATATTCTGCTCTAAAACTTACTAGGCTTCTGCCAAGTTATTACAGAAATAAAATAATGCAGATGACAAGCAATTAAAGTGAACCTGTGGACAGATTATGCACACAAAGTATATACAGATGCTCAACAAGCAGTAAAAACAATTTAAAACAAGCCCCCTATTCATCTCTGCATCAATGAGCATTGTGGAGAAAAGAATTCACAACATACAGATTGCCAGCCCTCTAAACTGTTAGAAATGGACGAAACCCCATGCACACAGGGAGCATGATTTTGAACAGGATCTGGCTGACAGAAAGATCCTGTGTAAAATCTTGTCTGTACACTGATACTTTTGTAGTAACGTTTACATGCCTACAGGATACAAATGTACCCTGGAGGCTGCCGTTGAGCTCAGCACTGACGTCGCTGATTACACACTATTGATAGGTCCCTGCCGCCAAGTGTCCTTGGTTGTTAGGGTGCAGGCGGCTCCCATAGAGTATATTTGTACTGTGCACATGTAAATGTTAACACAAATGTTTACATAAATAAATCATAAAGTATGTCCACAGCCAGAATTTACCATATTTGGCTTAGGCAGCTTTAAACTGCAGATTAATACCAGTGTACATGGGCTCTTAGAGTCCTTGTTACGATATTTGAGGATCTTTGAGACTAAATAAAATCAGTTCAGGGATGGCTTGTTTTAAAGTTCTTTTTCAGCTTGTTAAGAACATGGCAGAGGCCCACTTTAAGTTCTGTGAACCTGTTATGTATATGGCAGGATCAGTGCCCATTCATTTGTATATTTCAGGACCAATGAAGTCAACCAGCAAAAGACTGCTGAGAAATGTCATCTGTCTTTTCTTAAGGTGACACTAAACTAAGTAAATCTTAAAAATGCATTCAAGTACCCTAACTATTAACAAAAAATGTGTCTTATTTGTGTATCACTCAGCTGTAAATCCTCAAATCATCTCTGAATTGGTGCTGACACTGTCCTTCCTTCTGGAGGGGGGCTACTTCTTTCCCCATGGTCCCTGTGTGTGTTGTAAAGTAACCATCGCTCCAAACTCGCTCCCGTGATGGGCCACAATCTCACATTTAGTTATCTCATTTGTATTCAGATTGTTGTTATCACAGGAGCGAGATGGAGCAGTGACTACTTTACAAAATACACATGGACCATGGGGAACAAAAGTAGCCACCCTCCAGAAGGAAGGACAGTGTCAGCACCAATTCAGAGATGATTTGAGGCTACATTTTTGTGATAGTTATGGTACTTGAATACATTTTTAAGATTTAAGTGGAACTCTAGACATGGAGGGTCTATTTTGGTTTATGCCCCACACCCTGGATGAACCCTAGACCCTTCTTTAAGGTAATGGATCTTCCTCCTACCATTTGCTAGTCATGGAGGATGATACATTTTTCCAAATCCTTTGACCTATATGGCAAGGCTTATGGGTAGACAATCCCTCCTAAAAATGATTAGCAAAGCATTTGCATCCTAAAAAGAGATTATAGATAGTTGTTTATGTCTATTGTTATTCGGCTTTATTAGAATGTACATCATTCTTCTGATTAATATTAAAGACCTATAACTGCTGTTCAATGCTCTATTTCATGACTCACTCATCTTTAAATTGGATGAAGGTGATAATACTGATGGTTAATTATCCAGTAGGCAGGCTGGAGTTGGAGGAGGGACACCAAGCTGTATGTGGAGCCAAAGGCTCAGACATTAGGCTGAATGTTTTTTTTTGAAGTGTATAAAATAATGGAAATCTTACCATTTGCTTGTGTGACGTCAGCAGTATTTGTGACCATGGTCTCTTCCTCCACACTTCTCTTGTTGCGCAGGTCCTGACCAGGCAGGCTGTTGGGGCTGTGTTTAGTTTTGCTCTGAGTGTACTGGGGTGGAGGACTTACAGGGCGAGCTGGAGTTTGTAAATGGTTGCGGTTCTTATCCAGGACCCGGGATTTTGCCTTCCTGATGGTGACTGATGAAGCATTGTCTGTACAAGAGATATAAAGATGTATAATTCATGCGGGCAGCTAGCTTCATTAGTAGATAGAGAGAGGACAATGCTGCCTACAGTACATTTTAAAGCCATACAAAGTCAATGAGGAGGTCTATGATCATAAAAAAAATCAGATGCCCCTTATACCTGCACAGAAGAGCTTGCATTTCCAAATTCCACCCCTTGCACATGAACATCTTGCTATTCCTCAACCTGCCACCCTGAAACATCCTCTATAGCTTAGTGCTTTCTAAGGCCTTGCAGCTTTCCCACAGACATGCCAGCTTTGATTACAGTATTGGGATGAAAGCCGGGATCTTTTGCCCTACTGGGGTTGGTTTTGGCACAGGGAGTCCTAATACAGGAGAGGTGAGCATGCAAATAAGATTACATTAGAAAGTTTACTGTTAGAGTTGTGATCAGTGTTACATCAGGGTTAGTGTTTAAAGTGTATTTCCACTTTTGCAACCAAATTAGGATAACACCTTTTTTATATTTCCCATTCACATAGCTGCTTACATTTTTAAGTGCTTCTACTTGCTTAAAAATCCTACCTTGCTACCCTGTAATGTTAAAGAGGGGGCTGTGGGAAGTTATGTTTACTCTAATTAACCCTGTTTGCCCCTGTGCTGGCAGACCTCATTATCATTAATAAACTAGATTTGAACATGCTCTGTCCTAACAGAGGGGTGAAGCTTAGACGCAATGTATGTCATTAAGAGGAAGCTCAGACTGTCCCTCAGATTGTCCCTCTACGTTCCCCTTTAAACCACTCAGAGTAGCCTGGAATCTGCACAAAGGCCTTTCCCAAAGAAATATATAAAGGGTAAGAAATATTTTTAAAAAAAAATATTTTTAGGTATGCTGTGTGAATGGGAACAGAACACACATTTATTGGTGGTTTTCTCAAATTCGACTGCAAAAGTGGAATAACACTATAAGTTACAGTTAGGGGTAGTGATAGAATTACAGAGAGGGTTAGGGTAACAGCAAAGGTTGGTGTGAGGGTTTATAGAGAGGGCTAAGCTGGCCATACCCTATCCATGCTAAGCAGAGTGCATGGAGGAATCTCCCCTGACGGCTTTTCTATTCTGACAGTGGAGGCTGTGCAGCTGTCAGAATACCTGAACAGTGACTGCAGCCAATTATCTGCATTCATCCAATGCTACAGCCAATCATCTGCTGACAGTTTTTGAAATGGATCCTTCAACAAAAGTCAAGTTAAAAATCAGCTCTTGTCAAATGGAGTGGTACCAGAAAGGTCAACCGGTCGACCAGGTCAGCAGGACTCAACCGAAATTCAAGCAGTGTATGGCCAGCTTTAGTGCTGGGTTATAGGGAGGGTTAGTATGAGGGATACAGAGTGTTAGTGTTAGAGTTACTGGCAGGGTTAAAGTGGGGGGCACAGGGAGTGTTAGGGTTACATGGAGGGCTAGTGTTAAGGTTACAGGTAGGATCAGTATAAGGGTTACAGGAAGCACTAGTGTTACGGGAAAGGTTAATGTGAGGGTTACATGGGGTATTGGGGTTAGTAGGAGGGTTACTTTGGATTTACAGAGAGGGTAAGTATAAAGAGGTTTAGGGCAAGGCTTATCTCTCAGCAACTGGAGCTCTTTGCCAAAACTACAATTGCTGTTCTTCCAGCACTGAAAAGTAATGTATTAATGTCACTTCGCCCGAATAGATCTTGAGTCAGCATTTAATTCCCTGAGTGCAGCAGTTCCTTAATTTCTTCATAATGGTGATTCTTACCTGATACTGAGGTGTCCGGACGAGAAGCTGTTTTACCATGTGTGACAGCAGGAGAAGTAGACATACTAGGAGGGGTGGAGCAGCAGATAGCTTGACACGGCGGGTTGAGACAAAGGTCTATTGTGATGGAAGGATTCTGTTTGTGTAGCCAATCTGTTAAAATTGTGAACCATACAAATGTCCATTAGCCAACACCATAAGAAAACCAAACCTAAAATCTGATATTGAGAGAGGTGACTGACCTGTACTTTCTGTGACGTGTATAGGTGGGGTGGTGGAACTTCTCAGCTGTGTGGTTTCAAAGTTCTGACTTGAGCTACAGAATGAAACATGTGAGATGAGTACGGATTATGGGCAGAAATACCCATTGTACTATATTCCAAATACGTTCTAGAGAAAGGGTAGGCAACTTCGATACCTCAGCTATGGTAAAATTACATTTGAGCTTCACCACAGCTGGTATGCTGAGGTTGCCTACCCCTGGTGCAGATCCTAATAAAAATGATTAAGTGATATAAGCCAAAGAGACATACCGTGTACACACAGCAAAAGGGAGATTGAGACGGACCTTTCGGAAGAAAGTGAGAGTGCAGGTACCAGGTGGAGTGAAAACACTGCCAGAGTCAGAAGGCAAGAGGAAGGAGACAGCACCAAACAAAGGGCAGAGAAAGAAGGTACAGAGGTCGGTGCAGATAAAGCAAAAAGAAAAAAAAAAACAGATCATATTAAACATTCTAGCCCTTTCATACGAAACCATATTGCTGCTGCTAATGAAAATTCCAGCCCTGAAGGAGGTCTTTTCATCAAATCATATAGACATCCATTTGGTTACAGTATCTTTGACGTCCATCCAAATCCTGATCCCATCCTAAGCCCCAATGAAGGAGGAGTGTTGTTGCCCCCCAAAATGAGTCGGCTGTTTTTTGTTCGATGTTTGACACTTCGATTTGTGAATTGTGAATGGGTTGCCAATGCACAGCAATGGACATAAAAACAGGACCCGCGGCATTTGTTAACACAGCATGAGTGTTGTGGTGGGCTGCAGTGTGGGTCTCTTGCAAGCTACTGTAGTTGTGCGTTAAAAAGCTATTTTTAATGATTGGCCTGCAATGCATCGCACAAAGTTCCATGCATTACAGTAAAACATGTGTTACTACAACAAATAGGTCTGAAGGGGCTCTTAAGAATATCATATGCGATAGTATAAGTATTAAAGCTTACTGGCTTACTTTCCTCATCATAACATTTTTTTATGGACAAACAAATGTGCCTTAAAACTTGCCAGAACATTTGACTTCCTCAGGTGGAGTCAATTCCCTAACATAGCCCTTTCCCTCCCTGCACATCACAGACCTCTTTTCTTCTGGGAGGGTCTAATTACTGTATGGGCTGCCCTAGCTCCTCCTAATTTCCCCACATAACCCTTTCTGTACCTGCTAGGGACAGGGTCTCTTTAAGGTACAGGCTGTATTAATCAGTAATAAAAATGTGACTGAATATTTGTTGTAACACAGAAATGAACATTTAGACTGGTTGCTGTGGATCATTACTCTAAAATCAATGAAAGGCATTTAAAGGAGAACTATGAGGTGAGTGATTTTCACTCATCCTCATAGTTCTAGCCGACCTGTGACAATGAAACTGTCACAGGTCGGCTCAGTAGATCGGGAGGTGAGCGAACACATACCGGCGCTCGCTCACTTCTCAATCCTGTGCCGGCAAAGAGCCATGACAGGGGAGTGACTGGATTCCTCCCTCCCCTGTCCGATCCTCCAGCCCTGACTGGCGGAACGGACAGGGGAGGGGGCGGGTACAGCTGGCTCTGCCTCTATATAGTCAAAATGTGCCTTAAAACTTGCCAGAACATTTGACTTCCCCAGGTGGAGTCATATATAGTCAGAGCCAGCTGTCACTCACGCAGCTGGGCGGATCCCGACATAATTGTCGGGATCCGTTTCAGCTGCGGCGTCTCAGCAGTAGCTTGCGGTATACTGAGCTTAGGGTGACGGGAGGACGCTAGTTTGTGTCCTCCCGTTACCCTTAGGAGAACTATGGGGAAAAGCCCTGACCCCATAGTTCTCCTTTAAACTGTTTTGCGAGTGTCTCTATTCTAAAGGGACATAAGTAAAAGCAGTAATCCAGAACCACTGTGTAGCATTACATGGCAGAAAGCAGAGCCTGGGTGTGTAATCAGCAAAAATGGCTGCCCCATGAACATCTATAATTAGAGGTTATACAGTTTTTAAAACCATTATATAACATAATTAACATTGAGCTGACATATTCTCCTTATATAAGTAAAACATCATTATAAAGACATCACAATCCATTTAACTCCATGCTCCAATTAATACACCACATCAAGTCTACAGCGCTGCAATGCAAAAGCTGCACTTACCCATCCATATCCAAAAGGTCATCCTCGCTGCGTAAATTCAACACATATAGCGTTGTCATTGAGATAACACTGCAACATTAAACAGAGGAATTTGGTGAGAGAAAGCAATTGGGTGGATTCTATGGGGTTCATTTAAAAAAAGGCGGAAGGGTGTACGCCGGGCGGATGCTGTTTGCATGGTACTAGCACCCCTGGGGTTTGGTTGGTTGGCTGGGCAAATGTATGTCATCCTTTCCTTGGCAGGGAATAAGGAATTGAACTGTAGCAACATTTTAAAAAAAGGTGCTTCCCGCCAAAAAAATACCTGACACTATGTAACAGGGAGGGGAGGTTAAGAACGATGTCAAGTCTTATTATTTGAGGTCCGGTTTAAGTGAACATTCATTTATCAAACTGAACATACACTTTCCATAATGAAGAGTCACTGTACTAACTGAACAGTCTCTACTGCTTTAGTAAATCAACCCCATAATTATCTCTATGTAGATCTCTATGTCCATGATTCCTGTCAGTGGGAAGATTTCATGTATACAGATTAACAGCCTTATTTTAAAGTTAGCTATGTTGCTTTTGGAAAAAAAAGGATGGCATTTTTAAAGCAGAACTCTGGGCAAATTTTTTTTTAACCCTTGCAGTGGGGGGGGGGGGTGTCTAGGTGCTAAAAAACAAAGTTATACTCACCCAAACCACAGAGCAAGCTTGCTTCTACTCCGGTCCCTGAAGCCTATCTCCTCCTCCACGGCTGCGATGGTATGTCCCTCGGCGTCCTCACGTCCTATACACTGTGTATAGAACGTGATGACTCAAGGATTCTTAGACTGCTGCAGTGGAAGGGGAGAGAGGTTCCAGGGACCACTCTAAGAGCAAGCCGGCTCTGAGGATTGGGTGAGTGAATGTTTTGGGGTAGCCCCACTGCAAAGGTTAAGAACAGTTTTGACCCGAGGTCTGATGCTTTTAGGGATTCCAAACACTCTAATACCTGAAAGCCATGATAATGACTAAAACAATGATGGTTGCTTGGAGGAATCGTTGGCTGACACAGCTCTGCTCAGCTGGGGGTGGTACCGACTAGAATAAAGAATAGACAATGATGTTCAGTACCACACACAAACATTTACACTCATGTATTCACATCACTACATGTGGACTCTAATATTGACACATATTTAAAGTTTAAATCCCCCCCCCCCAAAAAAAAAACCCACACTATATGTATTGTAGATTACCAGTACGTTTATGTTGTGGTTGGATACGTCTTTTTTTTCAGACTAAATCCATTTTCTACAGGTTCAGAAAAATACCTGTTGACCCTGCTAGAAACCCAGTAACTTGTAACTTTCTGTGCATTGAACTGAAAACTCAAACAATCTATCTTCTGTGAACTACATAACCCCTCCTCCCTATGTAATGGGGATGAGTGAAGGAGAAGGTGCATGAAGTCCAAATCAGGAGAGCAGCCTATGGTGACAACTTTGTTTCTCGATACAGTGAGCAAGTGAGAGTTGTCACCCTAGGACAAGAAGTATGTTATCGTCAGGATAGCCAGGTAAAAATAAAGGTAGAAAAAGCTTAAAAGAAGGAAACTCGTGCAGCCACCACATCTGGTAAGCTGGTAAGCTGCAATATATTACATTTTTGTTTTTGGGGTTGGATACATTATATGCAAAAAGGACAGACATATCTAAACTCAGCATTTATTGACATGGGAAATGTCCTTGTGTATATAGTTCTGTCAAACACGTATATGTTTTATTTATCAATATATATCTATGGCTGATTGCCTGGTATTCAGCTTTATTAACATATTAAGGACTGCTCATTTCGTTCCTACCTTGCCCATGATTTTGGAAGGACGTTGCTTAAAAGGAAGACTTCCTGCACGGCTGAACTGGCTTCCTGTGTGGCTGCAGAAAGAAAAAAACAGAGGGAGGATTATAGAGAACTTTCCACAAATCATTAGCAACCAGCATCCCAAGTTGCTAAAAACTGGGTGGGGAGATGTCTAAGGGCCATACATATCTCCCTGTCCAGCTCTTAGCAACCTGGGATACTCTGGTCGGCGTCCCGTCCAGCTCCTGGCAACCAGTGACGTCAATGAACTGGGTCGGATGCCGGCCAGAGCTGGAGCCATAAGCGTGCACCATCAGCACACTACCCCGAACATGCAACACCAGCACACTACTCCCCAGGCCTCAGATAGTGAAAAGGCTAGGGACATCCTTGGCAAAAATGCTGTAAACTTAAAAGTAGGGAACTTCCGGTATCAGGAAGCCGGGCGGTGAGTCATTACATGTCACACGGCTTCCTGATTAGCCGGTAAAGCAGGGCGGCGTGGAGCCGGCTTCCCAGCTAATCAGAAAGCTGGCCGGCGAGTCATTACACGCCACCCAGCTTCCTAAATGGGACTTCCAGTATCGGTATTGGCGAGTATTGGAAAAAAAATCGGTACTAGTACTCGATACTGAAAAACGGTATCGGTGCTTCCCAAATTAAAAGCATAGAGACAATTCAGGATAAAACATGATTAGGTCAATTGCATACCTGTTAGTGCTCTTCATACTGTCAAGCCGCCTGAGTTTGGCCAACTTGCGACTCCACCTCTCCAGTTCATCAATACGAGTCTCCAAGTTGTCTGTTAGCTTACAGAGCTCCTTGACTGCACCTACATTCTCCATGAAGATTCTCTCCTAGAAGTCAAAGCGGTATATCAGAGTGAGTCAATATGCCTTTACTTTACTCAACTAAAGCTGGCCATACACTGGTAGATTTGTCGTTCGAAGTTTTGTTTGGAAATTGTGTTTGGTTTTTACATTCAATTTGGGAATGAATGGAGTTTCCTGAACCAAAATCACATTCACTATTAACATTTGTTTATTCAAGAAATATTTTCCATTATGCGCCTTCGGGGTTTTTTTGGCACTACAGTTGAAAATAATTGTCAATTTGACCCCACTAAGTAGGGATGCACAGATACTTTTCGAGTACCAGTGCAGATACTTGGCATTTTCATGAGAACTACCAGGGTTGCAGCGGTTGCAGCTGGGACCTGGCTCTGGCGCTCCACCACTGTCCTGAAATCATTAGTCTGTATTGTTTTAGAAAAACTGTCACATGACAATAAACAAAAATGTATCAGTACTCGTACTTGTAAGTACTCGGCAAGTACCAGTACTCGTGCTCGCAAAACTCGTATCTGTGCACCCCTTTATTTATATTTATAAAAACAAAATCATACATTAAAGCAGAGATGTACAAATTTTGACTTATATTCTACTTGTGTGCAGGCAGCTTTAGTCAATAGCTGTTCCTTATAGTATTTGTGTTAACAGTAATTCTAGGTTTACCAAATACACTGAAAACAATGGTTTTCCGGGCAGAGGGGTTACCTGGACACCTTTTATTTACATAGGGAGCAACAGTGTGACATAGACTTATAAACACAAATGAAATTCTTACGTTCTATAAAAATAATCATTTAAGACAGATGCCGGCCTTATCATGACTGATAAGAATAGGAGGTATATAGGTGAAAATGATTTTCCAACTCCCTTATCAAGGCAAGCATTTGTTTAGAACTCTGAGCAGTTGCAATCTTGAAATATCTGCTCCAGTTCAAAGTGCATACAATCGGAAATAATTCATCACCCTAAAAGTATACAAACTGCTTGTGTAAATGATAAATAAATGTATGTTGTTAATAACATTTCATCAATTGTGATCAAACAGACATGAAACTAAGCCTTTGCCAATCTTAAAGGGAATTTCAGGTAAAAGCACAGAAAAAACAAGTATTTTATAAGGTTATAAGGTGCAGCGTGGTGATTACTATTCACCTCGGCTTTGTGGATGTCCCTCTTATGCGTTATGAGGTGAAGCGATTTCAGTGTGATACCAGGAGCTACAATTTGGACACTCACTGACACTCTGACACTATGTGATACTTTTTGGAGACACTGAAGGAAACAACGGTATCAAGAGTACCAGCTAAGTATACTTATACTCACCGCTATTTGTACGGCCGTACCTACAGCTTGGAATTTGCCACTGGTTACCTTTGCTGAACTCAAGCTTTGGATTGACATGGTCAGTTTTTTTTTATACCTATCTGGCTCATTGATATATTCCATTTCTATGGATACACCATGTGTACTGGAGATTGGTAATTTCGAAGATATTTATACCATGAGTTTATCAGTTAGTGTATTTGTGTCCCACATAGATTGGTGAGCACAGAGGATCTGCTTAATTCGCTCCGTACGGATATCAAGAAATCTGCAAACATTTTTCAGCTACCGTGCAGTTCATATATGAATGACTTTGAGGGTTCCACAATAGAATTTCTTTCATCAGTAACTAGCCGAGTGGGAATCATGTGCAATATATATGTGTGCTTTATATTTTAATATTGATTTTTTTGTATGTGTTTAATAAATTATATGTTTCATACATGACTATATAGTTGCAGGATTGCATTTGTTTTGGGATCTCCCTCAATGGGGAAATGTGCCAATTCTATGTAATACAGGAGACCCACCACTAGGGGATACACACTGCTGATATTTATGTTCTGGGACCCTCCTTCCCCAGATATATATTTTAAATGCTTACTTGCAATGTTTTTCCTTTTCACAAACGTGTATTATAGACATGCCTTTGAACTTCTTAGCAAATTTGACTACTTCAGGAAGAGTCAACTCCCTAGCACATCCCCCTCCCTCCTTGGATAGCCTTCTCTTCTTCTGGCAGTGTCTAATTACTGTTTGTGCTGGTCCAACTCCACTGCCCCCCACCTACCTACATAACCATTTTGGGCTGTTCACAATAAAACTGCTGATTTGAAGTAGGAAGTGATCAATTATTTCTGTGCAACTGGCGTGTGTTGGAAGCACGGGATGTTCTTACACACATATACAGTTTGCAAAAGAAGTGGAAAGTACATGTGACTAATCCATCCTTTTCCAACCCTCAGAGAAGGTAGCAATCAAGATGCACTGATTGGAGTCAGCAACACTACTCAGGCTTATTCCTAAAGGTGCTGCCACTATCCTGGCTGTATCTATAAACCAAATATTCCTAGCATATTTTACAATACCACATTATGGCCACTAGATGGTGCGGATGAGCATAGAAAATAAGTATTCCTTGCCTATGCTCCTTAGCACCATCTAGTGGTCATAATGTGGCATTTTCCTGCTATTACATTCGACTTGGAAAGAAATATGTCATAGTTCTTCCCTTCAATCATAGAGAACGAACGTTGACAAGTTTTGCAGGATAAATTTAGTCAGTTTATCAATATGCCCCCTAGTGTATGAAATCCATTGGCATTCTAAATCATACCTTGTTCACTACTAAGAAATTCTCAATGGTTTCGCCGTTGGCACATGTCACATCCCCAGTCTTTTTTACTGCCTCGGGAAGGATCTCCTGCACCTCCTGAGCAATCACTCCTGTTAAAAAAAAATAACATTTCATCAGCAAGACACCAGTGACCGTAAATTTAAAACAGAACCTGCCTCATACATAGCCTTATATTGCAATAAATAAAAGTCACAGTAAAATAGTGCTAGACTGGGGACATACAGGGCCCACCAAACAGCAAAGATTAAATAACCACACACAAGCAATACTCACTGCAGGGTACCTAGTTACATTGTTCTGAGATGTTATAGAGCAATCTTGTTTTTTCTGCACTCTATTGTGTAAACCTTAAAGTCGACTTGTCATGAAAATTCAAGGCAGCCCTCAATTCCCCCAGATTCAAAAAGGCTGGCAAAAATAAACCATTAGAAGAAAAAAATAAAAAGTGCTTACTTTGAATCCCTGTGGTAGTGATGTCACTGTGCCTCAGTGCTGCCTCCCGGATGCTTGAGATCCCATGAGAATGTGCTCCTGTACAGTGCAGCAACACATTCTCGTGCAATCTTGAGCATCTGACCCCTTCCATCTGTCAGAATTTTGCATATTATACTGTAATGGGCAGTTATGGTTGGGCTGCACTGGCAGAATCATTTGATAGGGGGCAACGTATTTAGGAGATACTATATCAGATCCTTGAAAACGTTTCTCTATGGAGTATAATCAGCTAATGTGTATGTCTACTCAAACTTTTTTTTTACCTTTGGCTATAGTGTAAAAGGGTTACAATTAGGGATGCACCGATACCGGTTTTTCAGTATCGAGTACGAGTGCCGATATATACCTTTCGATACTTCCGCTAGCATGGAGCCAGCTTCCTGGCCAAACAGGAAGCTGGGCGGCATGTCATTACCCGCTGCCCGGTTTCCTGATTGCACAGGAAGCCGCCTTCCTGCTGTTTGGCCAGCTGAATGCTGATTGGCCAGGAAGCCGGCTTCCCAGCCAATCAGCATCGAGCCAGCCAAACAGCAGGGAATCAGTTTCCCGGTCATTCAGGAAGGTGGGCGGTGAGTCATTACCCCCTGCCCGGCTTCCTGATTGGCCGGGAAGCTAGCTCCATGTTCCCGCAGTAAGTATCGGAGCATTCATTCAAGTATCGGAGAATTTGGGCAAGTACAAGTACGCACCCAAATGCGTGGTATCCCTAGATACAATTTATGTCTGTTTTTTACTGCTATCAGGAACTTTTTTGAAAGATTTTCCCTCAATTTCTGTCTCTGAACGGTTTCACCAGATAGGATGTGAGGGAAAATCTGAAACAAGGAGATACAGACAACAACAAAAAGCTCACCAGGATTCGAGCCTTTCCTATTCTACAAAAAAAAAGTGTTTTCATTTCTGTGTTGCCACTGAAGATCTACCCTTCCTGGTGAAACTGTTGTCAGCAGAACAGGAAGTGAGGAAAAATCTCTTTATCAGAGACCCGGATAGCAGAAAAACCTAACAAGGAATCTAACTCCTAAACGGATTTTAAAAAGTTGTTGGCTGAACATACACTTGTAGTTTTTATATACACTGACCACACAGTTAAGCAGACTTATTTATAGAGTTAGACCATGTAGACATCAAACTTCTGACTGAGTGGGTCCATTAATTTCTCGGCTTATTTAGGTGCGTAGGCAGCTCGTGGTGTTGTGGGCCGGACTGGCCATAGGGCAAACAGGGCACTTGCCCGGTGGGCCGGGCCATCACGAACACAATCTGTTGTTGATCAAACTAACCTAACTTACCATTTGGCTTTATGTTGTATGGTTGACATATGGTCATTTTGTACTTGACGAGAGATTTTATTCATATAAAAGCACTTTTAGAATTTAACGAGCAGATGGAACATAAATAGAACAACATTTTGGGAGTATGGCATTTTATGAGTATGGATTCTACCTGTTTCTGATCGGTCATCAAGCCCAACTGTGCTGGCAAATTCTGGCTTGTAATGATAATGAACAAGACGCATCTGGGAGATTCGTTTTAGCTGTTCAGTAGTATCAACCTGAGAAAACATTCAGAAGATAAGTCAGGAAAGAAAACCCAATGTGATCTTTGCACATAATAGAGCCAATATCTGCACTGAACCAACTTTCCTTACAAAGCCCAAAACATTCTTGCCATTGTAACAATACTCTCTCACTGCATCTACATTTCTCACCTCCTCAATGTCCTCCTTGGCTCGGATGTCAGATGGATGCATTAACGAGCCCATAATTTTTACATTCCCATGTACCACAAGAGCTTCATCTGGCCTTTCTGTGTTGATGCCAATGCGTCCATGGTGGAAGACGGTATCTGAAAGCTGTCCCCGCTGCCAGAGAACTTCACTGTCGCTCTCAAACTGTCCAGGATTTGAGGCCTAATGATCAAGAGTTTAGAATGAACAGTAACAAAATACATGGTACTGTAAAACATCCAACATAAGTAGACAGAGAACCCCATTCGAGGCACAGAATCTCCTCCCAGCGTCAGGAATAGGCCCCGAAGAAACCTGCACCTTTCGCATCTGTGGGTCAAATAGTAAAATAAAAAAGTGCCAATTCGTGCATAGAGTGCATAAATAAATCTAAAGTGCCAGTGCACCACTCTGACAGGCCTTAGGGGCCGGAGTGCAAAAAATATTGCCCCAGACTAGCCATAAGGCCTGTCTTGGAGGCGAAGTGCAGAAAATTGCAATGTGGTGTGTGACCAAGTGCCAGTGAGTCATGTGGGTTCCCACACCCATGTGACTTTCTGGGCACCCCTGGGACGCCACCCCCAGGGGGCACAACACCACGGGCTTCTGCCGCCCCCGAACCCTCGAGCCTCGACCAAGCTTTGCATCTTATTCAGTCAGTAGGCAATAGTGCCGAGGAAACTCCCCCCTCCTCTAAAAGGGAGTCGCCTCAAGCACCTACCTTCACTCCTGAGAGTACTAGGCGACCGTCCGTCCCAAGGACAGTCCATGCCTTTCCCCTCTAGAACTGATAAGAACAGATACTACACTTGATCTTAGCCAAAAGGCCGAGAAGCGAGTACACCCTAAGAAGAAAGGAAGGTCATAGCTCAGGAGCTGAACAAAAATTGAATTCCAGTAATTTATTTTTCCATTTTTTTACTAGTCAGGTACTGGGGAGTGGCTTCTTGGGTCAGAGTGATCTGAATGAGATATATGCTGGAGACCAGGCTTCAATTCCTGCTGGCTTACACAACTCTTCAGATTTGTATACCCTGTTTACTGAAAGCAGAGACTAACTCAAGCAGTCCCTACACAGCCTTCTCTGCACTTAGGTTTCTTAGGGAAAAAAAAATTTCAAGACAATACTTTGACTTGAATAAAGCCAGACATCCCAACTCTACCGGACGCTCCGGGAGTCTCCCGCTATATGATAGCGGCTCCCGGCCGCCCGGGAGAGAAACATTTTCTCCCGGAAAGATTAACTCTGCTCAATCTAGCAGAGTAAACCTTTCCCTGCAATCTGTTTTTTTTTCTGACATCGGAGCCGCCGGCCGCCGTCAGTCAGAAAAAAAAAAACCAGCAATAGGAATGCATAGCTAGATTCCTATTGGCTATTTCACTTTGCAATAGCCAATAGCAAACTAGCTATTGCACCCGCAAACTGCTGTTGTCAATCAGCAGAGGGGACCTAAAGTTCTCTATCAGGTCCTCTTCTAGTGATTGACAGCAGCAGAGGGCGGGTTCAATAGTTAGTTTGCAAAGTGAAATAGCCAATAGGAATGTAGCTTTGCATTCCTATGCTGTTTTTTTTCTTTATTCTGACGGCAGCAGCTGTCAGAATACAAAAAAAAACAGCAGATAGCAAGGGAAGCATTA